TCTGTCCGTTAAGGTAGTCCAACCCTCCACCTTGTCTTATTGAAAATAAATTATCCTCACGGGTCCTATTGGTCCTATATCCTTATGGAATATTGTGTATATTCAGAGTTGGTGTATTTATTTTCTTCAAGTAGTAAAATATTTCACTGCTTTCCTACTGTTTAAGTTAGGTTCTTTTGTTTACAAGGAATACTGATGTAAGCTAGCTTGAGACGGGGGTTTTATTGTAGGAACTGAGACAACTCCAAAGACTGAGACAGCCTGAGGAACTGGTCAGCTCCAGGGACCCACTGCTTTCTCCATCCCTTTCTTATGGCTTCTTGCTTCTGCTTGTGCTTGTGCTCAGTTCTCCTCTCTCTACTAAATTGGCTGATTCTGCTTATCAGACGTTTCTGAACTTTCTTAACTCTGGCTCGCTCATAATGTCCCTGACTCTCTCTCAAAGAGAGAGTTCTACTCCTGTTGATATAGGCTCCTTTCTTTGTTTCCTAGTTCCAGTTCTTGAAAGATAGGGAATCTCATTGGCTTAGCTCATCTTGTTGTACTAGAACATAAGTCACAGTTACCCTCCAGATTATGGGATTGGCTGTCTGTTGGTCAGGTTGCCCATCCCAGTGCCAATGGGTTGTGCACAAAGAAGGGTTCCATTACATGGCATTGCCTGACAAATTTAGAGTCTGATAGTGGGTCAGTTTCTTTCAAAGGGGCTGAGAAGTCTAATACCTCTGCTTTTTTCTTCTTTTTAAATAAGATTCAAGTATCATGGAAGTGAATGTTAATTAGTGTCTTTGTCAATTTGGGGGGAATTATAAAAATGTGTTATTCAGGAATTCTTTCAGCTATCTAATACTGAGTTCTGTCAATACTTATAATTCCCCAACTATGGGCTGGTTGACTCTTTTCCAAGTAGTTGTATTGGGTTCCACTCCCTTGTAACTGAAATTTCCATGTGTCTTTGCCAGAAAATGAACCCATGTGCCTTGGCCTCTGAGCTTTGTCCTGAGAGTGTCTTGGGATTTTTACATTCTTGACCTGGCCCATTCCTTGATGATAACTTTACTGCACCCAAATCTTATTCTCATATGTCAACCACATTTTATGGCCCATTTGATAGGAATTAGGACCTTGGAAGGGTGCCTGGAGTCGAGTAGATATGCAGAAAAAAGGAATTAATCTTTACTGAGCATCTACCATGAACCTGGTGGGAACATTCTCATTTTGTAGTTGAGGAAGCAGAGATTCAGAGAAGATCAGACACTTGCCCAATGACACATAGCAAGCAGGTAGTAAGGCTAGAATTTAACCCAGATCTACCTAATTCTAAATCTTTGGAATCTCTTTGTATCATACCTTGAAGTTGGGTGTTTAGAAGGGGCGGGAAGAGGAGGCTATTCTAGGTGAGGAGAATAGAGACCATCACAGGTAAAGGTATAGAGGCAGGCAAATAGGAAGTGATGCAGAAACTCTCGACAGGAGTGGCAGATTCCTGTAGGAGAGAGAGGGAGATTGAATATCAGAGGCAGCCAGATTCTTGCACAATATAAAGGCCAGGCTAGGGTATAACTGACATTTTTGGAGGCCTTGGGGAGTCACTAACAGTGAAGCATGACGTGACCAAGGCAGCTGTTTAGATTAGAAGGATTAGTCTGGAGACAGGTGTCAGAAGGATTGCAATAGGAAAAGACTCGAGGTGATTTAGGCATGCATAGCTATGGTAGGCCCCTGTAATCTTAGGCCATGTCTCACAGCTGGCCTCATCATCTCAAGCAGGGACCCCTTTCAAGTCCTCTACCTCCTCCTCTTCTCTGTGACAATCACAAGCTTGCAACCGTCAGTCTTCTGGGAACTGAGCTCTCCTATAAAGCCTCACCTTTGATGGAGAGAAATGCTGTTCATTTCTCATAAGGTATATCCAATCTGAAGCTTCCAAGTGTTGCATTTTTTAAATTATTGTTTTTAAAAACAGAACTACTCCAAAGGGTAGTGAGCACTGGGAAGCTGAGGCTGTGGTCTAAATTTCCCCTGAAAGTCTTAACCACTGGTGAGATTTTGTATATGTATCAATCATACCATTTCCATCCTTGTTCTCTGTTCCTGTCACTCCAAGTGTGAGAAGAGATGGACGATTGAGATAAAGGAGAAGTTCCTAGGACTTTACCTTCTATTTCTCCTTTTTCTTTTCTATAGTAAAATTACCATGAAATTATTTACAAGAAGTTGCAGGCAGTCTGGCTAAGCTACTTGTGGATTTGTCTTGGGAAGAGTGAAAATCAGTAAATTTTATTTTCTTCCCTGACTTTTGCAGCTATTGAGGCTAAAGTCCAGGCATGCCAACAACATAATGTGGGCACTGAAACAAGTCTTTCTGTCCCTAGAGATTAAGTAACAAGTTTGGAGGTGAGTTTGTTTGTCAGTTTTATCGCTGAGAAGACTGAAGAAGAGGGAGTTTAACCCCTAGGCCCTGAGGGGTCCTGTAATAATATAGGTGGAAATCCAGTGGATAAAAATGGTGACAGCTTGACCTCCTTTTCCTTTTGCCCCAGGCTAAACTTGGAGCCTCTCTTCCCTGAAATAGTTCAAGTCATAAAACAAACTTATAACCTTGACAAAACAGAGGAAGAAGTCCTCTGTGCAAAAGTTAAACTGGTGATTCCTCCCACTCAATGAAATATTAATGAAACCAAATCAAAAACCTTAATTGGTCACCCTCAATGTGTGACACACTATGCTAAGAGCCAACACTGAATACTTTTTCCTTAAGTTTAGGGACAGAGAATTTTTGTCCTGTCATAGTAACAGTCAGTATTGAAGCAGAGGTGAGTTGTTAAAATTTTAAATTCTATTTAACAACTCCAAGGACACACTCTTCACCCAGTGGTTTCTCTGCTGAGTGCTGAAGTCAACTCATGCATTCTCTGGTTAAAGCATAGGCCATTCGATGTTTCAGACAATACAAGACCTGTGGATTCCTAAAAAAGCTGCATTTTCAGGGGACTCTCTGGATGTGAAAGCAGGCACTGGCCATCAAGTCATGGGGTTTGCTGTCAGACCTGGAAGGCCAGATGCTGTGGGTGATCCTTAAACCAACTCCTTAGGGGGCCTAGAGGCTAGGATCACCATATTCTCCTCTTGATCCCATCCCAGATAGATTGGGTGGATGTAAGGGTTAAAAGAGTTTTACGTAGGAATTGTGAAAAATAGGATCTATTCAACATAACGGAGTTGGTCCAGACAAACTTTGTGCACAGTTCTGTTGGTATCTAGTTCTAATCCGGGGTAGTTGTGATGGTCATATCTATGATTTGTATCTCTAGGAATTCCAGGACCCAGGGCAGAATGGCCACAGTAGATCTGTTGATGATAGGTGGTTTTTTGTTTTTTTGTTTTTTTTTTTGTTTTGACAGAGAAAGACACAGGGAGAGAGGGAACACAAGCAGGGGGAGTGGGAGAAGGAGAAGCAGGCTTCCTGCAGAGCAGGGAGCCCGATGCGGGGCTCGATCCCAGGACGCTGGGATCATGACCTAAGCCGAAGGCAGTCGCTTAGCGCCTGAGCCGCCCAGGTGCCCCTGATGATAGGTGTTTCAGCTCCCTGGAAAACAGTGGGAATTTGGGGATTCTTGAGCAAAAAGAGGAGATTGTGTCTGTGCCAACTCTTGGCAGAAACAGGGACTCCAGGTAGGCAAAGAACTCTCTGAGGTGAAGGAGGGCCATAGCTCATATTCCCTATCTTGAGACACGCATTCTCATAGTCAAGGAATGCTTTTGAGTACAACAGACAGCTGTGTCTTCCTGCCCAGGGACCTAGTAAATTCCTGCATAGAGGTGGCCTCAAGGGGCCTTCAAAGTCTATGGTCACTTAAGGGTCAGACAATTCAAAATTATCTGGAAAAGTTTTGTTTTTTGTTTTTGCTTGGGGTGGGGGGGTGGGGGCTAGGGTATAAACCCTCTAGTTTGGAGAGAAACTGAGCAGAGCAGGGACTACAGGAGATTTGGGGACAGCAGTAAAGAATGAGAGCATTTATTGAGAAATGGAACAGTCTAACAACACTGGCAAATCCTCGAGGAAGATACCAGGGATCACTGGGGAAGGGAGGGACTTGGGAGTTTATAGAGTTACAGTAACTCAACCATGTGAAAGCTCAGAGCCAAATATCTTTATGCCCATCATCCAAGCTTTAAATATCGCCAAGGCCTGTGTAGCCTGAAAAAAAAGAGGTTTTCTCAATATTCAGTGAAATGTTGGCTCCTTTAAAGTCATAGCCATTTTCATCAAAGTTTTATGGTAAAAAGACTTGGGAAGGTGAACACAAGTAAGGGACTGTTCTAGGTGGCATGCTAGCTACAGGGTTGGGGGTGGGGAGAAAAAGGAGAGTCTAAGATTAGCTCTTGGGGTCAGAATTGTCCCATTATTTAGAGACATGACCTACATGCCTTACACGATTAAATAACATTAGAATATCTGATTCAGTGTCCAGTGATATTCTCCAAACATTTGTCTAATGTGGCAAATAGCACCAAGGGGACCTTCTCACTTCCCTCAGGTCAGGAGCTGAGAATGTCTATCTTAGTTACCTCTTCAGTTTGGGGGAAGAACAAGTCCTAATTTGGTTAAAACTAGCCTTCCTTACCCATTAGCTCTTGTGAACTGAGGCTGGTCAAGGACCAGGATTGACTGTGTGGCACTTACCTGTTTATTGATACTCATACAACCATTTACAATGATAGTATATTGTTTACTTATTGTTCTGTAACAAATTACCCCAAAACTTACCAGCTTAAAACAACAATGAGCATTGGGGCACCTGGGTGGCTCAGATGGTTAAGTGTCTGCCTTCGGCTCAGGTCATGATCCCAGGGTCCTGGGATCGAGCCCTGCATCGGGCTCCCTGCTCAGCAGGGGGCCTGCTTCTCCCCTTCCCTCTACTTCTCCCCCTGCTCATATTCTCTCTCTCTGTATCTCTGTATCTCGAATGAATAAATAAAAACTTTAAAAACAACAACAACAACAATGAGCATTTATTTCACACAATTTCTATAGGTCAGGAATCCAGGAACTGCTTAATTGGGGCATTCTTGCTCAAGGTCTCTCTTGAGGTTGCAGTCAAGATGTTGGCCAGGGCTACATCATCTGAAGGCTTGACTGGGGCTGAAGGATCAGTGTCCAAGATGGCATGCTCATATGGATGGTGACTTGATGCTGGTTGTTGGTAGGAAGCCTAGTTCTTCACAACATGTACTTCATAGGGCTGCTTGAAGTGTCTTCATGATATGGTGTCTTGCTCCTCCCAGGGCAGGTGATCCAAGAGAGAACAAGGTGGAAGCCTCAATAATTTTTATGACCTAGTCTCATAAGCCACACTCTGTCAATACTCCTATGTCCTATTGGTCACATAGTCAGCCATTCAGTGTGAGAAGGAACTAGGATACTAGGATACTGTGGCTATTAGGAGGTGAAAGTTGCTGGGGGCCATCTTGGAGGCTGGCTACCACAAAGAGCTACCACCTACTGAGAGCTTGCTGTGAAACAGGCACCTTGCCAAGCATTGTATATTCAGTAACTCTTCAGGGTTATTGTTTTCTTATTATCCCCATTTTACAGATGAAGAAACTGAGGCTTTGAGAGGGTAAATGACTTTTGCAAGGTTTTTCTAGGTGCAGCTCTCCCTTAATTTTCACTTCTAAGGAATTAAGTTCATGCCATGCCTTTCTTTTAGCACACAAGCATTGTGTGCCTACTATGAAACGGGCCCTGTAGTAGGATCTAGGAATCCAAGAACAGCAAGACCCAGGCCCCAAGGCACGTGAAAGTTACATGCACAAAGATAGCACTGTATTTAAGGTATAGCAGGGCTCAACCAAGGAAGTAATCAATACTTTGTGGGTAGGATTACCCTTCTTGTAGGCTTGATGCCTGAGATATATCTTCAGAGCAATCAGGCACGTTCTCAACTATGAATGCATTATTACATTCAGGCTGGGGGAGGATAGGGGTTAGGACTTCCACTGATTCCTACAGAGGGTAACCATCTTTAACTCCTAGCTTTTGGTCTATGTTTAGTGAAGCTGGATGACACTTTACAATATGGTCTACCAAATGGAGCCCTGGGGTCCAGAATCAGGAGACAGGTTTTACACCATATTTTTCCACTTTCCCCCTATGTGACCTCTGGGAAACTCTTAATGGACATACGCCTTGGTTCTAGTTTCTGTTAAATGGGCGTAAAGTAATCTTTCCCTACATCATGGGAGAGGGAGAGCAGTGGTGATGATTAAATAAGTTAAAAGAAATAAAATGAAAAAAGTTCAAAGCTCTGCTTTCAAGAAGACTGAAGTCATGAGCCAGTTCTTCTGCAACGTATTTCTTACCTCTGCCACCCTGCCCTGTCCCCACCCTACAGACACAGAGGGGCTGTTGTTTTTACTTCATTTTCACAGTTTATATTTAGCCAAGGGGAAAAAGGATCAACAGCTCCTGAGGATGTTTGGTGTACTAGGCTACCTCTGAAACAGTTTAGAGACACTGCAATTGTCCAACTGAAGTGATGTTGCTGCAAATGGATGATGACGGACAAAGAGAAAGAAGTATATTTGCGATTGTGACATCATTTGTGCTTTGTGTCGCTTTCAGGATGAATATCAGGCAGATGACCCTTTCTGATTCTCACTGTTGCCATGCATTTCATTCTCTGAGAAGTCAAGCACATTCATTTCTGATGTGATAACCCTGTGGTTTACTATTACTATTGCATAAGCACATGAGCAACATTTTCTTGTGCACAGTCCTCTCGTACATATGTAAACTACAGCCTGCAGTACCCCCTGAAAGAGAGGAAGGCTGAATATGCTTACCCTGAACTGGATGCTCATGGGGCAGGATTCTAGATAAGGGTCACCACTACCTTCCCATATATGCCCTGGGCCCCATCATCATCATAGATGACAGACTCGATATTTCAGGTGAGTACAAAATTTCTCAGAAATGATGATTATTTCATATATACATGAATCTGGTGTCATTATTCATATGAATAATAAAACAGGATATTGATCTCTTTTAGAATCAAGTCACTTTCATTTCATTATGCTCTCTGTTCCTTCTCTTGCCTGGAGCCTTGGAAAGCTAGCCCCACACTCTCTTAGGCTCTCTTTTATCACTACACAATAGTGTCATACTGATAAAATGTTATACACCTCAAAGGATGCTGGTAAGCCTGCTCCAATATACTTGACGTTTTGAAATATTTTCTCTCTTCTGCCCAAGGGAGGCTCAAGCAATTCTAGGGTGAAATTTGGCAACCCTGGATTGGGAAGTGAAGATCACCTTGTTCTATGGAAAGTGAAACAGGAATTGAAGCAAGGAAGCTAAAGCTCTTCATTTGGTTCCAGAATATCTACTTGCCCCTCTCCCCTGGAACACTCTAATTACTGGTGGTCAAGGCCTTGTTGCCTGGCACATTTTCTTAAAATATGGCTTTAAATGCTTCATTGTGGTTAGAAGAAGACATGTATTAAGTACTAACAACCCATCATATTCTTCAGCAACTACTCTTTCATTTTTTTTTCATTAACATACAATAAAAAAACCTCTCATGTTGTCCCTTTGTGGTACACACTCGCCCCACTCTAATCCCTGGTAACCACTAATCTGTGCTCACTATAGTTTTGCATTTTCCAGAAAGTCATATAAATGAAGTCAGACAGTATGTAACCTTTTGAGACTGTCTTCTTTCCCTCAGCATCCTACCTTTGAGGCTCATCCATGTTGCTGCATTTATCAATAGCTTATTCCTTTTCATTGCTGAGTAGGGTCCTATTGTCCTCCCATCCAAGTACTAACCAGGCCTGACCCTGCTTAGCTTCCAAGATTAGACAAGATCGGGTGCATTCACAGTGGCATGGGCGTCGGTGGGTTCTACTGTCCTCGTGCATATTTAACTTGGCATGTTTCAGTAGAGCACAGACCCCATGAATCTGTAGACAAAATGGCACTTGGTAGCCAAGTGAAGAAGTAACTAATGTTTATCTTTCTAAATCTATAGTTACTTGTCATAATCATGTTGGGTGATCATCTGGAGACAAAAAAGAACAGGCAGTTTTTATTCCAGAGGCTCGAATGCCTTGGACTTCCAAAATCCCCCTACATCCAGCATTTGTAGGTTATTAATACATTTCATCTTCAGGTTGTCTAGTGTGTGTTACTGGCACTATCTAATGCAGTGGTTACCAACAGAGGGTGACATTGCCCCCCAGGGGACATTTAGTGGTATCTGGAGACAATTTTGATTGTCACACTGTGGGAGTGCTACTGGCATCTAGTGTGTAGAGCCCAGGGATGCCATGAAACATCCTACAATGTACAGGACACCTCCACAACAAAAAAATTACTGGTCCAAATGTCAATAGTGCCAAGGTTGAGAAATCTTGATATAATGTATCTGAGACATCTCTTCAAATAACACATGTAGTGTGTTTTGGGTTGGGCCAAAAACATTGGCAGGAAAATGGTAGGCTTTTTGAAGAGAATCATTATTTTCCTCCAAATTTTAAGTGGCAACCAAGGGAATAAGAGTCGGAAAGATAAAGAGTGATTATTCAAGAAATTGTTTAAACCCTGTTCAAACAACTCTCATATACCACACAAACTACTAATCCCTCAGACAACTGTGGTTGCCTATCTCTGGACCATTACATTTCTACCCTTTGCCTGCAATGCGCTTCACACTTCTCTCAGCTTGGAGAACTCATTTTTAGGGATCACTGTCTTTAGATGCCTTGGTCAGGTATCTTTCTTTATGGCTCCCATAACAACTGTCATGAAGAACATGACATTCCTCCTAGCACCATTTAATTTTCTGGTCTCTCGTCATTGTGGTATCCTCTGCACAGAGTCCAATGCCTGGCATAAGTTGGTGCTCAATAATTGTTGAATTAAGGAAACCATTTTCTAGATACATTTGGATACTCATTCATCCATATGCTCAATCATTTAATAAAGTTTATCAAGTACCTACTGAGTGCCAGGCAATATGAGTGTTGGAGATACAGGAGGGAGCAAAAGACATAAATCCCCTGTCCTCATAGGGTTTACATTATAGAGTGAGGGTTGGCAAGCTTTTTCTGTAAAGGGCCAGATAATAAATATTTTTGGCTTTGTGGACTATGCAGTCTCTATTGCAACTACTCAACTTACAGTTGTAGTGTGAAACCAGTCAAAGACAATATGTAAATGAGTGAGAGTAGCTATATACCAATAAAACTTTATTTACAAAAATAGGTAGCAAGTGTGATTTGGCCTTCAGACTAGTTTTTCAACCTCTGTTTCAGAGAGAAGTCAAACAATAAATAAATATAAAATTCAAATAGTAAGTGCTTTAAAAAAAAAAGCAGGAAAAGGAATAGAGAGGAAAGAAGGTGGAATTTAAAGTAGTTAGTCAGGGAAGGCCTCTCTGAGGAGATGACATTTGACAGACATCTGAATGAAGTGAGGGAGCAAGGCAGAGGAACAGCCAGTGCAAAGGACCTGAAGCACGAATGTGCAGGGATCTTCTGGGCCAGTAAAAGGCCTATGTGGCAGGAAAGATGCAAGCAAGGGAAGTAAGCGAGCTGAGGTTGCAGAGGTCAAAGGGACCAGACTGTGGACCTGGAGTTGATTCTGTGTAATGAGAAGCCTATGGAGGTTTTGAGAGAGGGAGTAACCAAGAAGAAGGGGTCAGGGTGACTTTTGACAACCCCCTCCCCCCCAATTTGTCCACTCAGTGGATTTGGGTGAATTAGGAAAAGGTGTTTCCTATAGGAGGAAGCAGCCTTGGATTTTAGTCTCCACTCAGCCCCTCTGCCAGGCATCCTTGGTTGGGATACAGTTCGGACATAATGGTCTGTGGTCTTAAGTGCTGCTGAAGTTACCTAAGAAACTCCAAATCAAATGGTATCAAATGGTATTCTTTTTTTTTTTTTTTAAGAATTTATTTGAGAGAGTGAGCGAGCGAGAGAGAAAGTACAAGTGGGGGCAGATGGAGAGGGAGAAGCAGGCTCGCTGCTGAGCTGGGAGCCTGATGTGGGGCTCAATCCCAGGACCCTGAGATCTTGACCTGAGCCACCTAGACGCCCCTCAAATGGTATTCTTGAGACCTTCTAGGACTTTGACATCTTTGGTATGCAAAGTATTGTCATTAAGGCAATGGTTTCTGGGGCTCAGCTCAGTGTTTTGGGGCAATTGGGAGGGTGCTGAATCTTAGGGGTACCTCTTCCTTTTCCCCAGGGGTCACAGCCAATTCCTGAGACCTTTCACCCCTCAGACAAGCACTTCCTTTTCTTCATTTTGAGGTAAGGCAGAGGAGTACAGATGAAGGAAACAGGGTAGAGAGTAAGCAGCAAGGTGCCTCTCCCAAGTTATGGAAACTTGTGTAAAATAAACCTTGTGGTGATAATGATGGTTTCACTTCCTGTTCCTTGTTGAACTACAGGTTGCCAGGAAAGCCCTGTCACACATTTACATGCAGGTTAAATTTCTCAAAATCTGAGCCACAACAGCCTAGTAACTGTGGGGAATATGATACAAATGCTGCTGTGCTGTTGTCATTGTCAGTGGGTAAATTTCTTTAGCAACTTGATGTGGTTGTTTCTCTTGGATCTGATGGGAACAAATCCAGTCATGGGCTATTTGTTAGTTGGTCTTCCTTCCTTTTTACTTATTGTTTTGGACAGGGAGTCTGATAGACAAGATGAAGAAATGAAATGCATTTTCATTATCATCATTAAATACTGCAGGGCCTTCCAAAATAACCCTAGACAAACTCATCACGGGCCAGCATCTTTTACTTTTCTATGTGCTTTTGGAGGTTTTGACACCAGGGATGAAAATGTGCTTTCCAAACAGTGTGGACTTTACCTAAAAGTGTTGTCAACTGAGTCATAATGAGCATCATGGTTCATTCTTTTCCCTTTGTTGTCTTCATTAGGTGTACAATTTCCCCTAATCTCACATGCATACAGTCTTTGACCTTTTACCCACAGGTCTGATTGAGCATCTTCTATTCATTTATCACTTTCTAAGAATGAACAAATTGGAACAACTTAAAAATAAATATTCCTCTCCTAGTTGCCATGGACGAATGCAATTTGGGTAGCTCAGCTTAAAACAATAAAGATGAAAGTGATGGAATAATATTATTAATTTTGTGCTAATAAGCATCTTCCAAGCTGTAACAGAGGATGGGAGATGCCGTCCCGGAGTTGGACTTTAAACTTGGATCTGAATTTCAGAGTTGTTAGTAGGTATCTGAATATTAGGTCTGGAAATGTTGAACTGGCACACACATTGTATTATTTCTAATCTGTCCTCTCTGTTTTCCAGGCAAAATGGACACTTGTAAATATTCTCTGTTGAACAAACTGAGAAAGTTGAACTGTACCTTGGGTTGCAGTTAAAGACAGTTTTAGCTGGTGAATCTTGCCCATGCCCTACTTTGAGGGACTTAACTCACGTTGAAGGCTGCATAAGACTCTGGGCATGGGAGTTATATTTGGGGAGCAAATAGGCAATTCCAAATGGTTTTGTTGCCTTTCTCCAGAATATATCCCAAGAGGAATTGGTGAGGAACATGAGTTTTTAGGCTTGTTGCTTGCTTTTCTCAATCTGGCTTATTCAGAACTTCTCCCTTGAAATTAGAGCTTTATGCTCGGGAGAAAACAGGATTGAAAACAAACCTGAGGTTTCTCCTAAGTTCCAGTAAAGCAGCCTCCACTCTGAGTCAGTGAGTGAAAGAGTGAGGACACAGGAAGCTAGATTCTGTCACCAAAGAACCCAAAAAAAGGATCTAAATTTTTTTTTTCTCAAAGGAGAAGCATGAATAAAATGATGGGGAAGACACAAAATAGAAGAACAGGGAAAGAAGAAAGAGGAAGTAGAGTTCAGGAGGAAAAAAAATCATAAGGCATTAGTCCATTGAAATGTGAGAAGGCAAAATCACACCCAACCTACTCTAGCCCAGTTTACCTGCCAAAACTTTAACTCAGAGACATGGGGACTCCTATTACCTATTTATCTCAGAATCTTCAAAACGGGGTCAGGAGATTGGCTAGTGAAAGTAGCAATGGTGTGCTGGTTATCTTTGTTTCCTCCTATCTTTTCAGATGTTTTACACCTGAAAGGATTTCAACAGAGTACGAAATAATCAATAACTTATAAGCCATGTCTACAAATGCAAAGTGAAATGTAGAATTGAAATGGTTTGGAGGAGAAAAAAGGATTTTAAAAACAAACCGAAATGATCCACATGAAGAAAAGATTTATATTTTTGATCTGGATCCATGGTCCACTGAGGTTAGGATTTTAACTAAAGGGGATAATAAAGGTTGTGGAAGTCCACGGATATAGAAGTCCAGAGCTGCCATTCATACCAATTGGTTCACTGGTTAGCTGCTTAGCTCTCAACCTTGTCAAAAACAGATCCTGCCTGAGTGAGCTTCATACTACTGATTCTTTACCTGCCGTGTAGGCATTATGTCATAGTGAGATCACCCCCACCCTGCGCAGTCTACCTTCATATGGCCTTCCCTCTACCTGCAGCGTCTGATGGGATAAAAGTTTAACACGGCAGTGTAAATAGAGACTTAGTCCTGGCCACTTCCACTCCAGACTCCTAGAGGACCAAATGCCCATCCACCAGGTGTTTCAGGAGTGTTTCATTTCATAAGTGAGAAAAATCAAAGAGAATATGTGTGGAATAGCATGGACTATAGGATTTTTCCCCAGGCCTTTTTTTTTCAGTACCTATGTCACTGAGTTGTTGTGCCTAAGCCATACCAACTCATTGGGCCACATTTAGAATAATTAACAGTTTCTTTCTTTTATCCCCATCAGTTGTTATAGGATGTCCAGTTGCACAGAATTTCCTCTGCTTTTGGTGGTAACCCAAGAGTTATCTATTGTATACATATGAGCAAGTCATCTTGAGCAAGAGCATCTGCCACTCTCCTCCTCCCAGGCTCGGGTGTCTGTCAGGGACATCTTTCACCAGAATTCCCAATCCCACGGTAATAATTAGCACTCTGTGAAATCTCAACATATCTATAAGGTTTGTGATAATGAAAAACTGGTCTTTGACCTACTCCTAGAAATGGGCAGTGATAAATACACCAGGATACTGAAATCTCTCTTACTTTAAAGGAGAAAGCTCCAAGACTTAGTAACTCCATGAGGATGGCTGGAAGAGATAGGTTGCTGTTATGTGATGGATTTGAGAAGGTATAAAGACAGAACAAATAATTAAGAGCCTAATTCCTTTTCACTTCTCTCACATCCCAATATGATTTTATTAAGAAACAGCAAACAATTCATTCTGGGTTTTTTCTTCTTTAGGAGAAAACTTTCCAAAGTGAGACAAAGGCTCTTTCTTTTTCTTTCATAAGGAGCTGAGGATGTTTTTTTCATGAAACATCTAGCATGTGCCCCACCCCCCCATACACTATCTGCAGAGGATCATCCTGTTTTCTCTCTTCTCAAAACATCCTTTCAACACGATAATTCTCAATCTTGAGCGAAGGCAACATTCTATATCCTCCCGGAAGTCTATCTACAGCTACCTTTCCCATCTAGCCTGCAGTGTGGACCTCTGTTCTCTCTGAATTCCAGAAATGGAAGATGCTTTTTTAAAAACAGTGACTCTGGGCGCCCTCTGCTGTCCACTTAAATTCTTCAGCTGTATACTAGTGATACGAGCAAGGCATGAAGGCGGGGAGGGATTACTGAAAAAATCCATACAGCATACACAAACATTAAGTATGTACATGTGTCTATGTATATGTATATGTAATACATGCATATTATATGTATGTATGTGTGTATGCATATATACCTTAACCGTTTTTACTCAGTGGCCCCTTCAAGGTTCTGCTGAATCAATAGTATAAACCACCTTTCCTGAAAAGTGCACATATGAGCATGTACATGCAAACACACACGCAGAGCCACCATCTGGGCACAGTACACAGAGTTAAAAACCTGAGCTTTGGTGTCAGACCATCTGTGCTTGCCCACTCCCTGGTATTACATCTATGGCCAAGAACGTAACCTCTCTGAGCTTGTTTCCTCATCTGTGAAATGGGGTTTTCCTGAGGGTTAAGTGAGATACTGTATACAAAGTGCTTTGTATAGAGCCTCACAATGGTTAAGTCTTATTAAGTGTTAGCAGGTTTTTTTTCTTTATGTTATAAACCCTATCATACCAAGCCCTGTTGTTGTCAAATTCCTTGTTACTTCAGCATCAGTGTGTCCAAGCAAACGCTGTGCTCATCTAAATTGGAAATGACATTTCCTCTGCTCTCCATAGTTTTATACAGGGAGATAAACCCTGTGGCCCAAAAGCCTCATGTGGAGTTGCTTCATCTGTCCTGGCTTCTCAGTGAGCAGCATTCATGTTGAATTATCTTTGGACGTGCATGTGGCCATCCTGCCACCAGCGACAGTCAGAACATACTCTTTAAACTGATATTAATTCAGTAATTTCCAGCCATGAAAGTGAAGGCCTCCTTAATCCTCTTGAACTTAATGGTGACACAATGTGTCCCCGTGGAGTGCAGTGGGACACACCAGGAGGTTCTGCTGCTCAGTTGCCAGCATGTGACTTGGATTCGTGGATTCAAAATCAAATCGAGTTGTAGGGCAGTCACTTTGTGGAGGTTACGCCTTCTTTTGTGATGTCACTTGTACCTTGACAAGATGATCCTGCTGTCTGGGAATGAGGGAGATCTGGGGAATTAAGTGACATAGGGATGCTGGGCTCTTCTGGGTGAGGAGCTTGGCCTGGAGTTGGGGCAGGGAAAAGGAATCAGGAAAGATGAGGGACCACTAATTGGGCAATGCATTTCCCAGGCAGGCCAGGTGACAGACCATGATTCCATGATGACTTCCAGGGGGACTCAGGGACTCCTGGTGCCTTTTCCTCTCAGGGCCTAATTAAATGAGGCCTTCTTCTCCTATCCTAAGCATCCAGCTTTGGAGTATTTCAGCTGCAGGACAGTGATTACCAGCCAAATATGGGGTTCTTTTCTTCTCCCTGGGCCTTCTTTTCCAGACCTCACCTTTAATCACTGTGATAAAGTTGCCCCTGAGGCTCTTGGAGGCCACAGTCCTCAGAAAAAGATCAACTCAGTAAGGCAGGCAAGTGGGTAAGCTGTTTGGCAGTGTTCTGATCCTGTTCTGTTAGTAGCTGGGAAGTTTCACATAAAACCCTTGTGTCCTCCCCCCACTTTCCTTTTCTCCCCAAATCACTCCTATCTCAGATTAGCCAAGAGCCTAGAAATACTGGGGGGAAACCCCATGGAAACAAACTAAGAAAGAGGGCTCTGGCCAGGGTGTTATGCACTAGTCACCTATGCCCCCCTTCTCTGCCATCCCACTTCTTTAGGGCTTGGCCCTGTCTCAGGTAAAACTAAGATAGGAAGAGCAACCGGTTTATGAGAAAGTTGTGAAATACTGAAAGCAGAGCATGGCAGGCTATACATATGAACTAAAACCTGCCATTAATTAATTCACCCTTTCAAAAAACATTAAGGCCACATTATAGTATCATAGGATAGTAACATGCTACACAGGAACTTTGGGGTCATATAAAACAGAGGTAGGATAGTTTGTCCTTCAGGAGACACCAGATATACTTGGAAAAAGTCCTGTAACAACACAAGGCGATGTACTTTACATGTCAAAATGAATGACAGACAATTGGTGCTATCAAAGACCAGAGAAGGTCCTCATGTGTGGGTATGAGCACATGTGCGAACAGACACATGCCACTTACTATCTATGCCACGGGTGATGGAAGTATCACCCCAGACTTATCCCAACCATTAACAATGTGGCCATTTGCGCAGTTGTTCACTTAATGTCTGTTCCTCTTGCAGAATGCAAACTCATGATAACAGAGGGCATTTTTCACAAAAACAGACACATAGATCCATGGAACAGAATGGAGAGCCCAGAAATGGACCCTCAACTCTATGGTCAACTAATCTTCGACAAAGCAGGAAAGAATGTCCAATGGAAAAAAAGACAGTGTCTTCAACCAATGGTGTTGGGAAAATTGGACAGCCACATGCAGAAGAATGAAACTGGACCATTTCCTTGCACCACACACAAAAATAGACTCAAAATGGATGAAAGGCCTAAATGTGAGACTGGAATCCATCAAAATCCTAAAGGAGAACACAGGCAGCAACCTCTTCGACCTCAGCTGCAGCAACTTCTTCCTAGAAACATCACCAAAGGCAGGGGAAGCAAGGGCAAAAATGAACTATTGGGACTTCATGGAGATAAAAAGCTTTTGCACAGCAAAGGAAACAGCCAACAAAACCAAAAGACAACCGACAAAATGGAAGAAGATATTTGCAAATGACGTATCAGATAAAGGGCCAGTATCCAAAACCTATAAAGAACTTATCAAACTCAACACCCAAAGAACAAAGAATCCAATCAAGAAATGGGCAGAAGATATGAACAGACATTTCCACAAAGAAGACATCTAAACGGCCAACAGACACATGAAAAAGTGCTCAACATCACTCGGCAGGGAAATACAAATCAAAACCACAATGAGATACCACCTCACACCAGTCCGAATGGCTAAAATTAACAAGTGAGGAAAGGACAGATGTTGGTGGGGATGTGGAGAAGGGGAACCCTCCTACACTATTGGTAGGAATGCAAGCTGGTGCAACCACTCTGGAAAACAGTATGGAGGTTCCTCAAAAAGTTGAAAATAGAGCTACCCTACGACCCAGCAATTGCACTACTGGGTATTTACCCCAAGGATACAAATGTAGTGATCCGAAGGGGCACATGCACCCCAATGTTTATAGCAGCAATGTCCACAATAGCCAAACTATGGAAAGAGCCAAGATGTCCATGAACAGATGAATGGATAAAGAAGATGTAGTATATACATACACAATGGAATATTATACAGCCATTAAAAAAAAACATGAAATCTTGCCATTGGCAACAATGTGGATGGAACTAGAGGGTGTTATGCTGAGCGAAATAAGTCAATCAGAGAGACAAGTATCATATGATCTCACTGATATGAGGAATTTGAGAAACAAGACAGAGGATGATAGGGGAAGGGAGGAAAATATGAAACAAGATGAAACCAAACCATAGGAGACTCTTAATCTCAGGAAACAAATTGAGGGTTGCTGGAGTGGTGGGGGGTGGGAGGGATGGGGTGGCTGGGTGATGGACATTGGGGAGGGTATGTGCTATGATGAGTGCTGTGAATTGTGTAAGACTGATGAATCACAGACTTGTACCCCTGAAACAAATAATAATTATATGTTAAAAAAAAAAAAAAGATAGTAGGAAGGGAAAAATGAAGGGGGGGGAATCGGAGGGGGAGACGAACCATGAGAGACTATGGACTCTGAGAAACAAACTGAGGGTTTTAGAGCAGAAGGCAGTGGGGGGCTGGGTTAGCCTGGTCATGGGTATTAAGGAGGGCACGTATTGAATGGAGCACTGGGTGTTATATGCAAACAATGAATCATGGAACACTACATCAAAAAGTAATGATATAATGTATGGAGACTAACATAATAAAATAAAATTAATTAAAAAAAGAGGGCATTTTTTAATCCCATTTCTACTCCATGTTAGCAAAAATATTTCAATCAGAATTACACCAATATCAATTTTTGCTCAAGATATTTTTGAGGTAATGCCACTTAAGCCAACTTAATTCCTTGATTCATTTTTTATGTAATATAAACCATGTCCTGGGCTCCTCGGTGGCTCAGTTGGTTAAGCAACTGCCTTCAGCTCAGGTCATGATCCCAGGGTCCTGGGATTGAGTGCCACATTGGGCTCCCGGCTCAGCGGGGAGCCTGCTTCTCCCTCTGACCCTCTCCCCTCTCATGCTGTTTCTCTCCCGCTCACTCTCTAATAAATAAATAAATAAAATTAAAAAAAATATATATATATAAACCATATCCTTTTAAAAAATCTTTTACTTTTCTGAAATATTTCCATTGGGGGGTTAATTCACAATGATTTGGCTCACCACACATTTTTTTATGCATAATGTATGTCAAATTTGTAGAGAGAAATATTATTAGGTAAATTTGAATCTTAAGTTATTTTTGTCAAGCTCTGTACTATTCTGCCATGTTGCCTTAGTTTACATGGACATGTATGCACATGTGTGTATATGTATACATGTGTCTCTCTGTGTGTATATATATAATTCAAAAACGCTAAAGAGATACATTTTTCACTAATCTTAAATCATAATGACCTGGGACTGCTGATTCATTGACTCCAGTGGAGAGGGTTTGGGATTGAGGTGCGTCAACATCAGAGTGAGGATCCTCAGGAGTAGAGGCAAAAGGCAGACATACACACCTCATCAGGTACTTGCTTAGGAGTCCAGGGACAAGGCCGTACTTACCTGCTCTTCCCTCTTTGTGACAGCAGAGACTAGAGGACCCAGAGATGGTATCTGAAGCCCAGGGCTCCTGTCCAAGTCCCCCGACTAGCAACAGCAGCACCTGAGAATTTATTAGAAATTCACATTCTTGGACCCTGCTCCAGATCTGTGGAATCAGAAACTCTAGAGATGGAGCCCAGCATTCTGGGTTTAAACAAGCTCTCCAGATGACTCTGATGCTGCTGAAGTTTGAGAACCACTGCCTTATACTCAGCTGTCATCTTGGCTATGAAAGAAGGGGTAAAAGGAACATATCCAGAATGATCAAAGATTTGCCTAAAGAAAAAAAAAAAAGCAGAGCTTAAAATATCCTTTAAGCAAGATCAAGTCGCCCATGAATTCCTCTCTGAGGTTCTCAACAGGAGTAGAGAATACGTAAGAAATTTTTGTTTGCTTGCAAAGAAACAGAGAAAGCTATAATTTTGCCTACCTGAACTGTAGCAGCTACCTCCCCATTATATTTTCTCAGTAATAGTCATTAGGAATTAGTTCAATTTTGTATTAATTCCTTGGATCACTGTCAACAAAACTGTCAGCCAAAATTGCCCAGGATTGGTCTATTTCACCATTGAGTCTATTCTTCAGGATTTTGATCACTCTGTAAGGAGTACTATCTATAGAAGCAAAGAGCAAATGACTAGGCCAAGGATCCTTAAATTTGACATGGCAGGCCAAAAGTGTTCTGCTTTGGGAAAGGGATGTCTTCTCCCTGTGGTATCTTAAGAGCCTTTCATAGTGCCTTGTCCTCTGTAGCTGCTCAATATTGATTTGGTAAATGAGTGGAAAATCCATAAGGGTTCTACAGCTTGAGAACACCCACTCGAAGAGGTGACACATGAGCTGGATCTTGAAAAATGGGCAGAAAAAGATGGATAAAGAGGGAGGGCATTTTAGGTGGGAGGAGAAAAGGATACATAATAGGCTGAGCAAAAGCTTGGGGTCAGGTCTAAATGTTTGGGACTGAGTGGAAGGCACTGGAGAGAAAACGCTGTTTACAGGGGGATATGATGACAATCAACAACCAACATAAACGAATTAGTGAGTTAAATGAGTACTCATCCTCTGATATGATCCCTACTGTGCTAGGTATGGGGTCAACAGTGGAGAACAAGATAGACATGGCACCTAAATCTAGTGAAGAATAGAGAACGATGGTAGGAGGATGGTAAGTGTGTTTTTAAGTGAAGTATAGGAGCACATAGGCAGCTCACTTAACCTGATCTTAAGGAAGTAGGTGGCTCAAGAAAGCCTTTCCAGATGACAAAATGTCTCAGTCATGGCCTGGAAGAGAGGAGGAGGGAAGGAGTGTGGGGTAGCAAGGGATGCAGTGGGCTGGGCAAACCTGGGCCAGATTATGAAGGACCATCTAAGCCATATTAAAGAGACACAGCTTTATCCAGAGGGGTGTGAAGAGCCCTCAGGAAGTTTTAAATAGAAACGGACAAGTTAGTTTTGGAAACCTCACCGGCTGTAGTAAAGACAGCTGAAAGAAGCCCGATGATGGTGGCTTTAATTAGAAGTAGCAATGGGAAAGAAGTTCAAAGAGCTTGCTGGAAAAATCTCTGATAGTTTAAAACATGTATTTCCTTGACAGTCCCACCAAGCCAGAATGAATGCTCCCTCCCTTTGAATCTGGATGGGCCTGTGATTCGAGTGGAAGGGCTGCCATTTGATTTCTGAAACCATGGGGCTTCTAAACCCAGGTCATAAAAGGGGACAACAGCTTCTGCCTGGTCCTCTGGGGACACTCCCTAGTACTCCACCACTGTGCTGTCAGGGAGCTACACGTAGATGTTCTAATCCCAGTCTCAGCTGAGGTCCCAGCATCACCTGCCATAAATAGTAAGTGAGGAAGCCTCTGAGGTGACTCTAATCCCAGCCATCAAGTGACTAATAACCACCTGAGACACGAAGAACTGCCTGGCTGAGCCAGTCAATCCTAAACATAATGAGAAAACGACTGGCGTTGTTTTAAGCCACTAAGTTCTGACATGTTTTAGACACAGCAAGAGAGAACCAGAACCCTCTCCTGATACCACCTAATGTAGGAGGTATCTTTTTGTCTCCTTCTCATACTGTGCTGTACTCACCACGGTGACTTCTGGAGTCTGAAGCAACAGATATTTATAATGAATGAAACAATCTACAAAGGCACATAATAGGGTTGGGGAATAAGATGTTCTGTCCAAATATTCTCATTAACAGAATAAGTACATGCTTTAGGCAAATTATCGATTGCGAAAAAAAAAACAAACACCATTTTTGAAAGAAATTATGAAATTTTAAAGAATGAAATGCTCACTATAGACTAAGCAAACTTTCTCTTTGATGGTTCTTTAGCCTTCAGAATCATCTATTATTTGGGGGTAAACATGGGGCTCATTAGTTCCCTCTGTACTCTTGCCCTTCAGCATAACTGCAGGAAAAGGTCGAAGAGCCCAGCTTTTACCTGCAGCACGGCGACCAGTCACCAGCTGTTCAGAGCAGCAGGGCCTGGGAAGGTCAGGGCTGCTATTTATTGCTCACAACTTTTTTTTTTCTCCTAATGAATGGTTGTTAGTTAACAACCAGGGCCATAGTCACACAGGGTGTAATAGCCATTCGAATGCTCTTTGTGAGCGTCAGAAGATAAAAGATAAGTTGGGGGACAGGAAGCACGCCATATTACTCCCTAAGACTTTGAAGGTAGAGAAACCCAAATGCCTTTTTCTGCAAACACCAGACACAAAAAAAAATACAATTAAGATTCTATAAAGGCACAGAATTTTCCTTAAAAGGGGCTAAGTCTTCATAAGCAGAAGGAAGAATGCGGTTGTTATATAATTCTTCAACCAGGTATCCGCATTCTGAATGCTACGGATGGTAATTATAATAGTCAGCGTTTACGTAGCACTTACTCAGTGCCAGCCACGGTTCTGCTTGCTTTACGTTTAGTATCTCATTCCATTCTCACAGCAGGCCTATGAGGTGGGTATGATTACCCCATTTAACAAATGAGGAAAGTGAAGTGAGCCTTTACCTAGTATTCTATCTCTGAAGAGACCTAATGTGCTGTAGTGGGAAGGGTACTGGACTAGGAATCTGGATTTTCATCTCAGCTCCACCTCCAACTAGTTACACCAATTTGGACCAGTCATTTCCTTCACCTGAAAGATGACGGGAATCAGCTAGGAGACTCAGAAGATTCCTCCTACTCTAAAACTGCTGATTCTGTGAATAATTCTGGACTCTGAAAAACAATCAAGTTAAAAGCAAACCTTAGTTTTTGAAAGAGCACTGAAGAAAGAGTGTACAGAACTCTAGGAAGACAGCTGAGAGGCGTGAACATCATGTGGGCCTTTAGAAACAAAAGGCACAACTCACCAGTGCTGTATTTCAAACCATCATGTGACAGATCAGGATGAGGAAGCTTTAGCCTGCTGTCAGACAAGTTTATTTAAAAAAAAAAAAAGCATCCCAAGAGAAAAGAGAAGATCATTATTAACATGACAAACTGTAGAACCAAATATTTATGATCCACATTAAAAAAAAATAATACAGACAGCATTATGTGGTTCTTATTGGCAGTTATTTTGTTTTTGTTTTTTAAGATTTTATTTATTCATTTATTTGAGAGAGAGAAACAGCATGAGAGGAGAAAGGGTCAGAGGGAGAAGCAGGCTCTCTGCTGAGCCAGGAGCCTGATGTGGGGCTCGATCCCAGGATTCTGGGATCATGACCTGAGCCAAAGGCAGTCGCTTAACCAACTGAGCCACCCAGGCGCCCGGCATTAATTTTGAAAAAGCACATGGCCTGCCCATGACCACAGCAGTAACCATTCAAATTTTAGTTTACTTATCAGTTCTGAGAGCTAAATTCTGGGTTAGTTTGTGCTGCTGAGAAAACAAAACAACCTGAAGATGTTTTCTCAGGAATATTTTATTTCTCTCATTTTTGAGAAAATTTGACACTACTGAAACTTAAATGAAAATTTCAAGTCCGTATGCAGGTTCACAAGTATCTTATTTGGGGGTCACAGATAAATGATGATAGAAGCAGTGAAAAAATCCTGGGCTATTGCCCAGCGTGGCATGATAAGTTTCAGACCTCCTGAATTCAGCAAAGGTGTAATTTGCAAGTAACTACTCCCCTGAAAATTCACTGAAGTTGACCACCTAGGGGGAATTCCTTCCCACTGGTGCTTACTGGGTTCTACTCTGGTACCGGGAGCTGGACTGCAGACCACAGCCATGTTCCTTCACGGATCCTCGGAGGTTTACACAGGGGAAGCGTCCTTCCCGAAGGAGCGGAGCTTTCTGCTTGATTGTTATTTAGATCTTCACAGCAGCACAACATTAACTTCTCCAGTCAGCATGCCAGTTCTCAATGAACTCAGAAATTTAAGGAGACCAAATGTTTGTTAGTATACCATCCACTGGAGTACAACGCCTCATTTCTTAGGAAGCCATTAACTTACTAGAAGCAGGCCCCTTCCAGCTCAGACCCATGGGGGGTTTGAAGCTAGGGTTACTCAGCCCACAGGGACTGGTTGAGTGGCTGGAAGGTCTGATGGCTGACTGTCCTCCTGTTTAATAGCATCATGTGGGATTTCCTGTTCCCAGGGGTGTGGCAGAGCAGAGTATCCAACGTGTAAGTGGTGACCTGGCCATTTATGTGCAGTTTCCCATAGATCTCATCAAATCTGGCTAGAAGGGCAGGCACATCCTTTACTTTTTCCCTCGCTTTGGCCAGCTGGGAAAAAGAAGAGCAGATCATTATGTATCTGCAAGATTTCTTCTTTGTTCTTCTTATCTTCCAAGAAGCAGAGATACAAATGCGTAAAAATGTATACTGTATACCTATAATGGTGAAAACCAGGGTACCAGGGCACACAGAAGTATGAATGGATTCCGTAAGCTATACACAAAATTCAGAATTAGTACCTGAAAATCATTCCTAATATCTCATAAAAAGGTGGTACATAATATACAATGAAACATATCAGGATAAAGAGTCAAATAGCAATGGAAACAAAGTTTGCCCAATTTAAAAATCAGAGCAGGAAGCAAATTATGTGAAGGTTTATAGCACATGGTAAGTTTTCTGGAATTTATTCTAGAAGCCATCAGAAGGTCCAAATTAGGACATGATCTGACTTAGGTTTAAATGGCTGTGTAGAGAAATTGAGGGTGGAGACTAATCTGGAGGCCAGTATCCTAGTCCAGATGAGAGAGGATGACAGTCTAGTCTGGAAAATGTATATACAAGATGGAGAAATAGATGTGTAACAAGTATATCTGGGAGGTCCAACTGAAAGGATTTATTGTTGAAGAGGTCAAGGAAAGGGAAGAATCAAAAACATCTTCCCAATTTGGGCTTTAGCAACTTGGTGATGGGTGAGGTCATTAACGGAGACGGGGAAGATGGGAGGACCATATTTGGAGGGGGAACAAGTCAAGAGTTCTGTTTTGGACATGGCTGAGATGCCTGTGAAAGATCTAAGTGGGTAAGTCAAGAGACTGTTGGATATACACCAATATGAAGCAAGGAGGAGAGGTCTAGACCAAAAGTATAAATATCAGAGTCACAAGTGTATAAATGCTATTTAATTCTACAAAAATGGGTGAGCTCTAAATTATAATGCAGAGCTACTTTTTGAACAAAATCAACATTTTACTTAGTTCAATCCTTATTAATGATACAACCCGTGGCACCTGGGTGGCTCAGTTGGCTAAGCGTCTGACTCTGGATTTTGGCTCGGGTTAAGATCTCCGGGTAGTGAGATGGAGCCCTGCATCAGGCTCCCTGCTCAGTGGGGAGTCTGCTCTCTCTCTCTCCCCCTCTTCCTTTGTCCCTCCCCCCACTTGTGCACACGCTCTCTCTCTAAAATAAATAAATCTAAAAAAAACAGAAGAAACTTCTCTTTAAAAAAAAAAGAAATGATACAACCTAACATTTTTTGATGAAATTTATGTATATGCAAGGTCCCTAAGAAATCCTCTGGTCATCTTCTAAATATATAACCCTATTTGCTGCCGGCATACCCTCCTTTCAAACAAGGGATCACCACTGAACCTTCAGGTAAGAAGTTCCAGCACTTGATGTTCTTAAAAAGAATAGCTTCTTTAGTCCCCACCTCATGCTGAAGGTGAAGTGACTTAAGGTGAAGCACATGGTTTCCAAAAGCAGCCAAGCGAATATACCAAGCTGGAGACAACCTTGCTCTAAGTGCATATTCTCTCCTATCACCACACAAATATCAAATGGTGTCATTAGGATCATTCTACAGTTTAAGCAGAAAAGAGATTGTACTCCATTGTTAGTTTAGTTTCAAAAAAGAAATCAATGAAGCAACAGCTGACGTTTGGAGTGGTTTTAGTCATAGTAATTAAGAAAATCAATAATTCTGTTCAACACTCCTCTGGTGGTGTAACAGCGCCTTCTCTCCACACACGAGTCATCCTTAATAACTGTTGGTATCAACACTCAACAGTGCATTTGTAAGGTGCAAGTTTTACAGTGTAAGGGTCTCCACACGCACCCTCACAAGCATCCTTAGAGCCGGCTCAAAGGCTGCTGGAGTCAGAGGAGTCATTTCTTTCTCAATAGCAGTTCCCCGCATGGCCTCACAACAGCCAGGGAATACACGCAACTACAGGTGGAGCTTTTTAAGTAAATCAGTCTTACAGACTTTGGGGGGAAAAATCAAATAAAAATCGGTATTTTTCAATGTGGAGTTTATTTGGATGCTTTAGTCATATAATTGGACAACATATTGATGGAGCAGGTCTAAGTAGAGTGATTGACATCAGTGCTATTGAGAAAACTGAAGTTGTGTCAGTAATGGATGCACACAACCGTGCACTTTAAAACCTGTTTGCATTTCCAGTTCCCCTACATTTTTTAAACATACTCCGAAAGGGTTTGGGTGGATCACAACCTACAGAAAGCTAAGAATTTGAATAGAAAGAAGCTTTAAATTAATCGTATCCCGTTAGTTTCCTGACAAGCTCCCTCTGCCAGCAGGAAGAAGCCTTTGGGTGGAAGTGTGAAAACGGGAAGGGGCTGGGAGGGCAACAGTGTGGCAGAGGGGGAGAAAGGAGCCCACAGTGCTCCACCGCCAACCATGCCATCTCAGATGCCAGGGGGACCTGTACTATCAAAAGGCAAGGGAGGGAGGAAGAACCAATCAACAGGCCCCTTCATAAGTCAAAATGACAATACCAATCATTACTAACAAACTGATCACTGCCAGGAATTTATGATTTCCTTACAGTTTTTTTTCCCTTTAGCTATAGATGTACAAATTATTGAATCTCAAATGACTTACAGTAACTCCTCTTTGTGTGCTTTTTTTTTTAAGATTTTATTTATTTGTCAGAGAGAGAGAGTGAGCGAGCGCACAAGCAGGGGGAGGAGCAGAGGGAGAGGGAGAAGCAGGTTCCCTGCTGAGCGAGGAGCCGGATGCAGGACTCGATCCCAGGACCCTGGGATCATGACCTGAGCTGAAGGCAGATGCTTAACCAACTGAGCCACCCAGGCATCCTGTCCTCTTTGTGTGCTTAAGCCATCAATGTGAGATATGGGTTCAGTCACTTCCCTTTGCTTTCAATGTTTGGAAATTGCTTATCATTTTTATTTAATTTTGTTTTATAGTTTTGCATTAGCTGGTCTATTCAGTATCTAAAACCACAGTTCTAATTATAGAAGCTTTAATATGGTTTAATATCTGGCAGGTCTAGTACCTCTTCCCAGTTATTCTTGCTAGTTTGTTCTTTCTAGTAAACCTTAACTAGAGAAAAAAACCTAATGACACTTTTATTAGGTTATATTATCATAATCATTTGGGAATAACTGATTTTATGGGGTTGAGTCTTCCTATCTCAACACACAGCATGTCTTTTTCATTTGTTTAAGTAGGAGAGACTTTTTTTTTAATGACTTTTATTTGAGAGAGAGAGCGCGAGAGCACGTGAGGGAGCGCGAGCAGGGGGAGGGGCAGAGGCAGAGGGAGAAGCAGGCTCCCTGAGGAGTGGGGAGCCCAATGCAGGGCTCGATCTCAGGACCCTGGGATCATGATCTGAGCTGAAGGCAGATGCTTAAATGACTGAGCCGCCCAGGCGCCCAAGACTTTTTTCTTAGGATGAGAGATACTGTAGCTGATTGTTTGCTGATAAGAATGATCCACAGGGAAGGGGATGTTAATGATGCTCAAAAGAGAGTAAGACATCTTTTGAACAGATGCCCTGCAATGGGTCAGAGGGATGGGCTCTGGGGCTCAATGGGGGAACCTGCTCTAGAGAGGTGTGTGTAGTCACCACAGCCTCAGCAGGGAAGCTGAGCACACAGGGACAGGAAGAGGTTGTCCGTGAGGCAGCAGTTCTCTGTTGATTGCTTCCATTTCCTCCATGAAACAGGAAGCAGGGGTGGGGGGTGGGGTGGGGAGAAGGCACTGGAAGCTTGAGGAGAAAGGAAAGAGAAAAGGGGAGACGGGACCCAGGAAATCAGTGTGTGTGTGTGGGGGGGAGCGGAATGGTGAGAATAATGTAAAAGGACAAAGTTTTTCTAGAATTTCAGAGGGCATTTTCTGTTGCAAGAAAAAAATTGTTGCACCCAAACACAGAAGTCTTATAACAGGAAGAAGAGAGAGGTTGTCATATTTGACACTCTTTAAGGTGGCAGCCTGGAGAATGAAGACAATAAGTGCACATTTTAATGAGAGCCCTTTCACCTTTAAATGATTTCTGCAGCAATCACATACTCACCACTTCCTCTGAGAACTCTCGTCTTCTCACAAATTTTGATAAATTTCCCTCTGCAGCATCCTTTAGTATCTCTATCAGGGTTTTCAACATATTTGCCTGGATATGAATCAAAATCTGAATACAAAGAACAAACAAGCAGAAACAAGACTGAGCCAGTGCTCAACAATGAGATATGTACCCTGTTACACAAGCCTACATTTATAGGCATCTACCTGCTTACATGTTATTTCCTAATTCATTGTCTTGCACAAGTTCAAAAATGCTTCAAATATATGTCTATCAGCCAAAACTTATTTTCCAATAGCTAATCAAAACACCTCAACTTCAAAACTTGCTTAAAAGTAGAAAAGCAGAAAAAAGGGATTGTGGAGTTTGGTATGTTTGGGCTTGAATCCTGGCATGGGCCATTACCAGCTCTATGACTCTGGCCACGTATTTAATCTCTTCCAACTTCTGTATTTGTAAAATGAGGAAAACAGGTTTACATCTCACATCTGAGTTACTGTGAATGTCGAATAAAATGCCAGCACACAGGAGGTACTCAAACATTACTATCAGTTTCTTCCCCCCTATTCCTTCTAGATTCAGAGGAGAGGACAATCACAGTCTTGTAAGATTGACCCTGGGGCAAAAGATACCTTTACCTTTGTTTATTTATTTAGGTTTGGAAATTGTAGGCAAATCAGTTGCTGCAGGTATAAAGTGGAAGCTGGTTCAAGGCTTAATGAGGTACTCCTATTTACACTGCAGCCATAAAGGAACTTTCAAAACTGGGTACTGTACTTTGGTACCACTAAACTACCTTCCATCAGACAGACACAATTAACACAAGAAAAAAAAAACACATTTCCTGGGCGCCTGGGTGGCTCAGTCTGTTAAGCATCTGCCTTTGGCTCAGGTCATGATCTTGGAGTCCCAGGATTGAGTCTGCATCAGGCTTCTTGCTCAGCAGGGAGTCTCCTTCTCCCTCTGACCCTCCCCACTTCTGGTGCTTTCTCTCTCTCACACTCTCTCAAATAAATGAATAAAATCTTTAAAAAAAAACCACACTCATTTCCCCCCCTCGTTACCAGTATTCACTAGTACAATTTGAAAAATACAGAAAAGGTTAAAGAAAATAAGAATAAGCCAGAATTCCCCAACTAATGTTATCCACTGTTTAATATATTTGGAAGGTAATACAAGAAATTATAATTTACTTTTTTTATTATACAATTCTTATACAATGAATATTTTCTCATTAAGAAATTAGAATAACTCATTTTTAATAATGAATGCATAGCAATCCATCATATACATACAACGATCCATTAAGCAATACCACTCTTCAATATATTGATAAATATGCATACATTAAAAAAAAACTTGTTAATTTCTAAGACTTGATTTTCCCAGAAGTGAAATTACTAAGTCAAAGGAGGTAAACATTTTAAAGGCTCTTGATCCTTTGGAAAAGTAGTGTTTCTGGAAGAGCTATTTCTTTTTTTATAGCAAACCAGCTAAGTTCTTTCTATAGTCCATTTTTTTTTTTTAAAAAGATTTTATTTATTTATTTGAGACAGAGAGAATGAGAGAGAGAGAGCACATGAGAGGGGGGAGGGTCAGAGGCAGAAGCAGGCTCCCTGCCGAGCAGGGAGCCCGATGCGGGACTCGATCCAGGGACTCCAGGATCATGACCTGAGCCGAAGGCAGTCGCTTAACCAACTGAGCCACCCAGGCGCTCTCTATAGTCCATTTTATAACAATTTAAGTTTGTTGAGCAGTTGATCAGGATGAGTGGTTATCTTTGGTCCCAAAGAACAGAATGAAATGATTCCAAGAAGACTAAATCCAAAGAACCCGATGTAAGTTCAGTGTTCTAAAGCAAAGGCAAAATCATGAGCACACCTTTCATTAGGAAGCAACACTCCACAGGTTTCTCACATTCAAGCAGAAGCACTGATTGCCTTTAGTCCAGACTATTTTTTCAAGGATATCCGTATAACCAACACCCTGGAAAGACATACACAGTGCCACAAGCAGAGAAAAGGGCAGGCATGCTTACTGCCCATTTTGAGAGATCTGAGTTCTCCAAATTCAAGATTCCTCTCTTAAACTATAACCTCCTGTATGTATAAGAAGAATACAGACCTTGTGTTGTCCTGTGGGAACTGGGTTCAAGAAACTGATGCAAAATGCTAATGTTGTGGCTACTACTACTGCTCTAATTAATAAACTGTCCTTTTCCTCTCGGTGCCTTGTGAACTCTACTAGTATCCACGGAACTATGGAAGGTTAACTCATTAGCTTAAAAGTAGGGTAAAATCTCTGACTCCCAATAGTACTTCAAACTCTTGTTAATAAAAAACAACTGACTGGGTTGGCAGCTGTCCTACTGAGGGCAAGGAGAAGTCGACCTTGTTACATGTTATGTCTCTAGTGCCTGGCACCTAGTAGACCCTCTACAATAATGAATGAGGAGAGCTGAGGTCCCCTAGCAATTTACACAGATAAACCTCCTGGAGCTCCATGCTACAAACTATTAATGATGTGCTCCTGGAAGATTTCAACATCTCTTCTTAAGTTTTCCCAATTTCTCTCCCTGCCTCCAGCAACTATCTCTGATTCAGAAGGGATTTCAAGAGTCGAGTTCAATACCTCGAAATATACTGATGAAGGGCAATATAGATGAGGCAGTTACTGATGAAAAGCCAAGAAAAAATGTAAAGCTAGGAGAGCTTATCTCAGGCTGAAACCTTAGGTTATGGTTAAGGAAAACTAGATCAAAGTACAGCACACTGCTTTAATCTTACAGATTTCAAACAAAAGGCTAGGAAAATTAGCAAGGAATAGGGGGAATTTAGGTAAGAAAAACTATTCAAACAACTACAGAAGGACACTTCCTGTCCCTCTGATTTTCTGAAACCTCAAGAAATGTTCACAAATCATTGGATGCCTTTGACCAAAAGAAGAGAAGCCCTGACCATGCAGTAATTTGCATTTCGTCTTTTTCTTTTCAAGTTTGCTATATTTGCAGTAGAATATCATAGCGCAGTAGAGACTGCTAGTTTTCTAAATAATATCCATCCCTCCCCCCCTTTTTTTTGACTAACGGAACTCCCTAACTTCAACTGATGCTGTCATGTACAAAACTCAAAGACTGTATTTCTCAGGTTTCTTTCTACTAGGTATGGTCACAGGATTACGTTCTTGCCAGTAACATGTAAGTACAAGTGGCTGGGTGAGACATTTGGGAAAGCATCCACAAAGGGGCCTAATTTCTTTGTCCTCCATTCTTCTTACTTCTTGCTGGAAAAGGTGTAATGGATGGAAATCATATGCTCAGGATGGTGTTGTGAAAATACAGAAAGAGGCTGGGTTCCTGATGTTACCATAAAATGTCACACCAGGCCCAAACTGACCATCTTTGGTTTTCTACATGGAAGAAGAACAAAGCTGCTCATTTGTATAGATTCTTATTTTTCTTAGGTCTACATTACTCTCAACTAAAATGCAATTCTTAACTTCCACATACAGGCAAGATGCTGTCACAAAGAGATTTATGAGAAATGAGTTCTGTCTTCTTGCCTACCCCCATGCAGCCTAGGAGACTTCCTAGTGTGGGCTCTAACTTTAGGGTGACCTTAGTGACTGGAGAAAGGGGCATTAAAACATTTATCTGTGTTAACAAATAATGATAAAAGCAGCAAAACTAACCAACTGCCAATTCCCCTGCAAGGTAATTCAATTCCAAAATGGGTGTCCATTTGGAGACATGCTTTATTTCTAGAGACATGATTAGAATTCAAATAGCATCAGTGGAAAGCTACCCCATGTTGGTCTTGGCTACTTTCAAACATATTTAGAAGTGGAAATTAATCCTTTGATATTGATCAACACTGCTAAAGAGGGGACTATAGTTCTTTTGAGACTGATGGGTTTAAATTCAGAGAGCAGAGCCAACATGCATGTGCCTCAATGAGATCATCTGCTAAATCAATTCAGTGTGTAGCAAGTATTAGCTGGGAAAATGGAAAATCAGGCCCTCTGGGTCATATTGGCAGCAGGAGCAATTTTGATGAAAAGAAAATTAAGTTGAGGGGGGAAAATTAGGTGAGTTCAAATTCTAAATGGCAGCAGGAAAAAATTTTAGTATAAGACATTAATTTTTAAAGTAGATCAGAAAAAAACTTCATTTATTTCTGCTACTACTGACTGAACAGACTTTCTACTCAGCCTATTTGTGGGGTTTCCATTTCTTAATAATTAACAAATTGCCCTTAAGGATTCTAAGTAGATGACTCAGCCTTAGAGAAGCTAGGGCCCATTAAATCAGTTTTTAAAAACCTGCTCTAATAACAGATCTGAATCTGAAAGATTATTAAACCTGAGAACGGCAACCATCTCTTTTTCAATATCCCCAAGGAAGCCAAACCAGGTTTACACTGAAATATGACAAACTTAGATTGGACATTTGGAAAAAGTTCCTGAGTGAGCATTTTTAAACAATAAAATGGTCTTTAAGTTTCTGAACAATATATATTTCTGTGACCCAATTCATGGAGGGGACGATTCATATTCAAGATCAGTTCAAGGTTCCTTACAGAGTGCTTGCCCAAAACATGCGCATTCCACCAAGTTTAATCGGCTACCTTTCCTTTCTAGCTCTCAGAGAACAGGAGCTACTCCTGCTGCTCTGGCTCATGAGCATATTCCCACCATGCTCTGGACTTCTCCTCTTACTATGAATCGATAGCTTCATTCTCAGCAGCCTATGCTTTATTTCCAACAAAGCACTTTCTCATATGAAAAAAAAAATTATTACTAGATTCTCATAACCACTGCAACAGATAGCCAAGGATTGCAAAAAATGAAGCATCTAAACTCAAGGACATGGAGTACCATATACTACTGGCAACTTGGCTTTTTGACATCCAATCCTATGTCCTTTTCATCACTCAGAAGGAGCAGCTAATCCCAGTCCTGGATAAAAAAAGACACAACCCTTGTCTCTCTAGGTCTTGAGTGGCGGGGCAACGCCTTGACTTTGTAGTCAAACATATTTGTGTTAAAACTCTGACTCTGCTACATAATTAGCTTCAAGGACTTAGGTGATTTATTTACTCTTTGAATCTCCATTTTCCACATGTATGATATGGCCAGATATTGTTTCTACAGTATCATATAAAATGAGCCAATGAGTATTAAGTAGCTAGCTGAATTAAAACTCTGCTGATCTGTATCTCTTCAATTTCTCACCACCAATCCTTATTGATCCCTCCAACCTCACTTCAACTCGAAGAAAAGCTACCATTGATCCATAGAACACTCCTCTCCCCACACTCTCGTGTACCTCTTTCCCGCATAATGCGATGAACCACCTGAAATGCTAGCAATTCTACTTCAGTCCCAATCATGAAATGAGTTCATCTGCAGGCCACTCTCTCTCTCAGAAGGAATGATATACTTGGGTACCCAGAGCTGTCCAAATCCAGTAGGAAGCAGGGAAGAAGGTACAATACATATGGCACCTGCTGGAAGACCAGGCTTCCTAACGTGTTTGGCTTACTGATATTGTTGGCTCAAACGACTGGAACTTCTGGACTCTGGACCTTTGCCACCTCGACCTCCCAGATCTGCTTATGCCTGTGAGCTTTTCAGGCTGACCCATCTGCTCTGACCTGCAGTTTCTGCATAGGCATGCAGTCTTGGGATAGGGGCTGTCTGCAGCAGGCTCTGACGGGGTTTCTATACACTGGTGCTATTTCTTCCCTTTTTCTGATAATTCCTCTGCCTCACCACTGATGTCTTATTAAACTCACTCCTGGCTTCTCTTCCTTTTTTTGTGGCATTTGTCAGTTCCCATCAGATCCACTGCTGGTTTTATATAGATGAGCTCTTAACTGACAGCTCTGACATCCATCCCCCCTCTAGGCTCATGTCCTTTAAAAACTGCAAGATCTCTTTTTGGATACTTTCCTAGTATTTAGTCTCTTCCCTTCCAAAACCATCCTTTTTCCAGGGTCTCTATTATCACTGTGCCTATCTTTCTGGTTCCCTAGGCTCATCTTTCCCTCACATGAACGGACTTTGAAAAGGTATTCTTATCTCAGACGTCTTGGCAACCTTAATCTCCGAAGTTGGTAAACTAGTCCTTCTCTTGAAAGTCATCTGGGCACTGGTCTGGGGGTGACATTTGAGGATAATCACTATGGAAGAAATGACAACCATGGAACCTTGGAGTTATGCCCAATTCCTACTCACTAGGTTCCAGGATTTGTTGAATATAAATATACCTCTTTATTTAACACACTTCACTTCAAACAAATAAAACTGGTATTACCAAGCATTCACTGAACACTGATTACATGCCAGGTACTGTGTTAACTACTTTAAATGCATTAGTCTTTCAATTTTCATAATGAAAAGACAGTAATATATTTATTACTACTGCTGTTTCAGATAAAAGGAAAATGGGGACCATAGAGTTTAAGTAAGTTGCCTGAGGATGAGCTCAAGGTTAGTAAGAAGTGGTTATGATTAAAAGTTTACATTCTTTTAAATGGAACCCTCAGCAAAACTAATCTCCCAACACAGAATGCCCTTTCACCCTCAGCCCTCCAATCCCATGGCCCTGTCCTCCCTCAGACACTGCTCAGCAGTTCTCTCCTCCCTGAGATATGCTCAGTCTGTTCACACTGGCCAGCCCTTCACTCCCCATGCTGCAACATTGCACTGGCTGTGAGCCCTTATCCTAGTTCATACCATATTGGTGTTAACACATTTCTCTTCTTTTGACAATGTTTTCCTCATCTTGACCCCTTAATGTTTCAGGAGACTAAGTTCTTGAAAGTTAGGGGCTTTCTTTTCAACACCCCATAACACAAGTATAGTCACCATAAGCAGGGCCTCAGTAGGGGCCAGCTGAGTGGCGCACATGATGTCTCTAATGACCACAGAGTCTCCCAGTCTTTTTCATTGCTCCAGGAAGGTGTGGATGACTCACCGCTTACTGGGGCAGATGGGCCATGGCAGGCTGGCAACACAGAATGAAAACAGCTAACATACACTGGGTGCTTACCATGTCAAGCACTATTTTATGCACCATAGGTATACTAACTCCCTATGTTAGGTACCATGAATCGGATGCAATTAGCACAAAGATTTTTCTCAAGTCTTAGTCAAGAGAAAATAGAGACCACCTCCTTCCTCTCTGTATCTACAGCCTTCTGTGGTCATGTGTTATGCCTGCAGCATTTAGCTACATCCTATATCTGAGCATATCTACATTTTCTACCTATTTATAAATGTCTGTATTGACTCCTGTTACAAGGCCTGTACGGTAACACAGAGCTCAATAAATCACTGAATTGAATCAAGATCTTGGGAGATCAAAATTCATCATACCTATATAAAAAAAATCTGGACATCATTTTACCACCTTTCAAGCCTTACTTTAAACAATAAAGAAGTCACTTACATTTAAATTAGTGCAGACTATGTTTTCTTGCTTCATGATTTGGGAAAAAATGGATATAGCTTTTGCCACCTGGTTCTAGAAGAAAGAAAAACAAGTTATACTCCAAATCATATGAACATTCCTCTGCTATCATAAAGATTTTTTTTTTTTAAGGATTTATTTATTTGACAGAGAGCATAAGCAGGGGGAGCAGCAGAGGGAGAAGCAGGACCCCCGCTGAGCAGGGAGCCCAATGCGGGACTTGATCCCAGGACCCCGGGATCATGATCTGAGCTGAAGGCAGACTTTTAACCAACTGAGGCACCCAGGCGTCCCACATAAAGATCATTTAAGTATAGTACGATATTCCTGTTCATGGTGCCCTAGGGGTTTTGAAGTCCAAAAAGAAAAAGTTTTTTTGGTAATCAAAAATGAACTTTCTAAAGAATGTTTCCTACAGTTGCATATTACTGAATTTTAAAAATAGCTTCCAAGATATTTTATTTTTATTAAAGTAGAGTTGACGCACAATGTTATAGTAGTTTCAGGTGCACAACACAGTGATTCAACAACGCTATACATTATGCTGTGCTCACCACAAGCGTAGCTACCATCTGTCACCATACAGTGCTATTACAATGCCATTGACTATATTCCCAATGCTGTGCCTTTCATTCGGTGATCTATGCATTCCAAAGCTGAAGATTACTCAATGTTTTAATAACCTGCCTGTGTTCCAGTTTTTAAGATGGAGACATAAATTTGGCATTTGTCCTTATCCCACTGGAAGACTTAAAAAAAAAAAAAAGATTGAGAAGCAGAAATGCAAACTCCATCTCTGACATCATTAGAAGAAGGTCCAAGCCACAGAAGAGATGGAAGCACTGGCAACAACATAGGAGACGGAGCACAGGGGTAAGATCTGGACAAAGCAGTGTGAAGAGACCACTGCTGCCTATCTTAGCAAGAGCCCACCAAGTAGTTCTCAAATGTTAAGGGCACCCCTGAGGTACAAAACCTGAATTCCGTTTACAGTGATGGTAATGGAATTTAGGACTATGAGAAATCCTCTAGACCCTTCTTGTGGCAAAGGTGAGGCCAATCAAAAATTTAAACAGATAAGCTATATTTGCAGGAAACAGACCGTTGTTACGGCAGTGTCAGAGAATGAGATTTTTCATTGAAAACCGCCTGCGTGCCTATTCCCATTAGCCAGGGAGAAATAAAGCCTATGCAGACAAAATGCATACATAAAAAAAATTCCTTCTAGTCTGGAGCATGGCAACATGGCTCTGATCTCTCTCTGACATGAATCTTCTGTAAGCAGTTGGTCTAAGAAACTTGCTTTCAATGACGAGTACTCAAAAATGTGCCAGCACATGATCTATATAAAGACACTAGGAGGAACAAAAGAGTGAGAAAAGGGATATAAAAATCAGAAAGAAACAAAATCAGAAAAGAACCGGCAGATGAAGAAACCCCAAAAGAGAAATATTTCCACGGATACAGAGGACAATAATGAGAAAAACAAACAAGATCAAGTAACTCAGAAGCAGGAAAATAAAAAAATCAGACAGGCTTCAGATTTCTCCACAGCAATATTCTATACTATAAGACAGAAGAGCAATGCATAGAAAAACCTCAAGAAAAACAAGTGTCACTTCAAAATTTTATATCTGGTCAAAATGTAGTTCAAGCCAAAAAACCAGGCAAATAATTTTAAATACCAAGAACTTGGGGAATACTCTTCCTCTGAAGAAGGAAGATACTTTACTAGAAGACACATTTCAATCAACAAAGAGATGACTGGAAAACCAATAGTAAATGAATATTTTTAAATATATAAATATATTTAAATATATGTAAGAATATATATTTAAATACATACAGGACCAAAACAAATGTGGGGAATATGATTACAGAACGGAGCACAAGTGTTATATTCTCAGATAATGAAGACAAACGGAGAAAGAATGTAAGAGAAAGTACACCTATTGCCTTGTCTTTATTACATGGGGTCAGAAAAATAGCATTTAAAGCTGACAAATCAAGCACACTTAAGAGAAAAATGAGTACTATGAAAGGTAGTGTATCAACCAGAATTGGGTGGTGGAGAAGAAGGAAAATGAGGGAAAAAGAGGAAATATACTAATTTCAGCATTACTTACATTAGGGAATTAACAAGGTACAGTTAAGGTAATCAGAGGACTAAGCATATTAAATCAAGTTATGGTTTTAAAGTAACCACTAAAGCAAAAACACAAACCAAAACAAAGAAAACCACTACACGCTAGAAGTAATTTTAAAAGTTATAAAAACAAAGCATAACTGAAACCTAAAATTAAACATGACATGTCTATCTAGATGGGTTAAGTTAAAAGAAAGACTAGCAGTGTATCAGGAAACAAAGTTCAAATCTATGTAGTGTACAAGATACACAAAAACAAACCAATTCAGAAAGACTGCAAATAAAAGGATAGGAAAAGGTGTATAGGAGGCAAATACAAACCCAATTAAACCAAAGAGGCATAAAGAGATATTAACATTAGGCAAGGTGAAATTTAGAGTGGAAGCATGAAACAAGACCAAGAGAGGCACTTTGTAATGCTACAGTGACAGATTCACAATGATAAATGCATTAGTGTTGTATCATAACTGTACATATCTATGCACCAAATGGCATAACTTAAACACACATACAGGAAAAAACTACAGGAGCTACAAAAAAAACAAACATTCTTAAAAAGGGACTTTAATTCATCTCCTTCAGCTCATGACAAATTCGGACAAACCAATCCCCCTGGCCAGACAGGCAAGCCTAGAAAGTTAAAGCAGCAGAAACTAGCAACTGTGTATCCTTTTCAGTCTTTGTCTTTCAATGACTTCCCTAGCAGAAGATGCAAATAGATCTCCCTGATATTTTCATTTATAATTAATGATAAACAAGGGTTCTCTAGCCATACTTTACCAGCCGGATAAATAAACTGGCTTGGTTACTTTTGCTGCCTTAATATCTTCTTCTACCACATATGAAATGTTTAACATACTTCACATTTTCTTAAGCCTTGGAATAGGACCTCTTGGGAAGGGCTCTTCAAGAAGAGGGGTATTCCAGGGTTCCAGCTCTAACTGTCCTTTACTACTTGTGACAGCAGGGAGGTCCTCTCTTCTCTCTCTGACCTCAGTTGTCACCATTTATTTGTCCAGAGACGGGGCGGGGGGGGGGGGGGGGCGGCTAAAAGATCACTGAAACCGCTTCCAAATAAGAGTATTTGGGTTGAACTAAGAAATATAAGATGACCCCACTTAAACAGTGAGCTGACCCAGGATTCCTCATTCATCTGAGGTAAATTTCACTATGGAGAGCATTAAGTTAAACTGTTCTGAAAATATTACATAGTAAATCAATCATTTGAAATTTTCACTTGAATTACTTGAGAAATTTCTCTCAGAGTAGAGCTTCCCTCACTGAGTCTCCCCAGAATCTTGGCCAGCCCCTTCTAAATAGCAATGCATGGTAGGTCCTCAACTGCAAACAAAACATCCTTTGGAGGCACAGATACGGATGTAGGTTGCCATGGCACCAAAGGCATTGGTCTTTTTATGGGAGCTTTTTCTTTAGGATACAGTCAGAAGGGAAAAATAAAAACAAGAACAAATGAAGGCAGTCAAGTCTTCCCAGTCTTGACTCACTAATGTGCACCCCAAAGCCTTACCTGATTCAGAGCTAATGCCACAGCAAAACAAGATGCTCTCCTGGAGAGGACTTCTCCTTTGATCAGGGCTTCTTCTCTTAATGTAGTACAGATTTTCAAAGATTCAGGGCTATTCTGGCAGGAGACAGAATTGCTCAGTAAATAAATGTCATGCACCTTGAAGTTTAATAAAATGATTAATAGTGTTCAGTATTTCAGATTTCCTTTTGTAAGAATTTCCCAGAGCCTATCTCAAGCCACTTAAGAGATTAAGCCCCATATAGACACTACTTGCAAACAGACCTAATTATCTATACATTAGCAGTTCAAATGTCAATGTACATTAACTTCATTTGTAAAGCCCTTTGTCAATTTTCTGAATTGGGGCTTTTTGACCACCAAGTGTACAGGTCTCTTTGTATCTGGGCAGACTGGTTTCTAGACATAAGTACCATAATGTAAAGGTGTAAAATCTCAGTTTGTTACTATATTAAATAATAGTGTAAAGCTTATATGAATGTAAGCCATGAAAGAATCCCATGAAAATAGAAACCTTAAAAACAAATCCACGAACATGAACAACACACAAAGCAGCAGACAGCAATGGTAAAACCGAATCTTCTTCCTTTGTACATGCTATAGGTGGATTAGGTTTATGAAAACAGCATTAGCTTTGCATCTATGTCTATCTGTCATGACACGATTCACAACTCAAAACCTAAAGTAAAAACTGAATTTGATGAGCAAAGGCAGTTCCCAGAATTGATCTGTAATTTGTAATGGCTGACTATTTCAATTTTTCAACTCTCATCTCCACTGAGTAAAACAAGTTATTTTAGATACAACATAGGGGAGAAATGTCATCTGGCCTTCCTAAATAGCATAATTAAATTCTCTCCACTTTATTATACACTCAGGGAAGCATCTCTAAAAAGGTCAGAAAGCTCAGTATTACAGTGCTGAATAAGCTGACACTTACGTGTTGTGTGTTTGGTTGGCCTTCTGTTTCACAGAAGGAGAAAATGGTACAACTGGGAAGGATGACATAGGGGTGCCTGGGTGGCGCAGTCAGTTAAGTGTCTGACTTTTGGTTTCAGCTCAGGTCATGATCTCAGGGTTGTGAGATCAAGCCTTGTGTCCAGCTCTGCACTCAGAGCAGAGTCTGCTTGTCCCTCTCCCTCCCCTTCTGCCTCCCCGCCCCAGCCCCCACTCACACACACACTCTCTCTCAAATAAATAAATAAAATCTTTAAAAAATAAAAGATTACCTAATAATCTAGCGATGAGCCAACTAAGACCCTCAGGGGCCAAGTCTAGCCTATGGCTAAAAATGGTTTTCATACTTTTAAAGGTTTGTAAAAACAAAAACAAATTACAATGTGCAACAGAGACCATATGTGGTAGAGACCATACATGACCTCTAAAACCTAAAGCATTTACTATCTGGCCTTTTATAGTAAAAGCTTGGGGCTCTTGAATTCAACCCTTTCATTTTACAAATAAATTAAGTGACCACTTCAAAGCCAGTTAATGCTAAAGTTGAGACTAGACTTCAAGTTTCTCAATTTCCAGGATGGTTTTCTTTCCACTATAACCCTACTGCCTCTCTTGTTTTGGAAAATTGGTATTGTTACAATTTTCAGGGAAGTGTTTTAATGGCCCATGTTCTTCCACCTTGCCTGGTGTTCCTTCATTTTTGCCTTAATAAGGTTTTGTTAAGTTTCCAAAGTTTAAATGACATGAATGTCTACAGTAATGCATAGAACTTTGGTCGCTGCACTCTATCAGTCATCCTTTATTCACTGATTCATTCAATCAGAGGGAGAAATAGTTTCTAAGTATAAAAAACAATCTTGATACAATAATGACATATGGACTTATAAGTCATGTTTTCTGTCATCAAAGAGTTCATTTTAATGTCACATACATTTACTAAAGATCAATTGTATACCAGCGTGCTGTTAGGTGCTGGCATACAAAAATGCCACAAGCTTAACCTCTAGTGGGAAGGATGAAACATCCATTTACTTAGAATAACGTCAGGCAGTGGTAAGTGTCACATAGGTGATACAAATAGAGCACAATTAGAGAATGTTGGGCAATAGACATTACTTCTAACTTTGAACCACCGAAAAGTTTACAGATAATAATAAAGTAGCCCTTGAGTTCACCAATGAAGGATGGTCAGATTTCCACGGCACAGAACTACAGAGAAGACTTGCCTAGTGGAGTCTAGCTTGAGCTGGATAATAAGAGGACTGACTGACTCTACAGCAGAGCTTGAACCCAGCATACCGTTTCTTGTTCTCCCTATCTACACAATTGCCAGAGAAGGGTGAAAGATGATAAAATTGCTTTTCCCATGATAAAACTGTGTGATGTGGCTAACTTGAGTTTTCTAAAAAAGAACACATTTAAAATGGAAATATCTGTACCAGATGGAAAAAAAAGACTTCAGAGGAACTAAATTTTTCTTTGTAGAGAAAAAAAAATAATAAATTCTCTCTCAAACACTACCCACAGTGCTCTAAAAGTTAAGGGAAGACATTCTTACCAGTTTGTAGCAAATTGCAAAAGCAAGGACATAGGTATCTTTGTTGAACTTCACATCTTGGCTTTTCATCTCTATCAGTACTTCCAATGCACCTACCAAAAGTGACAAGTGGGTGGGCAGTGTTAAATGCATCCAAATGAGTTCAGAGTCCTTGGCTATTTATCCCCAGAGTTCTAATCTGTTCAGTACTATCTACTGAAAAGTGTATTCCAGAAGCACAATAAAAGCTATCTGTCAAAGTCATTTAGCAATTAACTAAATTAAAAAAAAAATTAAGTCATACAGCAAGAATTAATATTTAAAAACCAATTATACTTTCAACATTAAGTAAAATCTGGGTGTTTAGCTTAAGGCATGACATGAGATGCAATAAAGTTGTTTTTCAGACTTAAAAGAATGAAATCTCCATAATTCAGCCACTCATCATGAATATAAGCATCATTTTTGCATGGTCCACTGTTTTTCCTAACTGCTATACCTATACCAGCAAAGACAGAATTTTTCAGCAAACTTAAATTCCAGTACTTACTTGAATACTTGCCTTTGATAAATAACATATCTATCAAAATATTGAATGATGTGGAATCTGAGAAGAAACCTCGTAAATGCTAATGAAAAAAAAACAAAACAATACCAGTTTGGTTAAAAGCTGTAACTATTTAGTGAATACTTATTCTTATACTCCATCTTCTCTATCCAGGACTTATTTTTGTGTATACTTTATCCATTTGGTTCCCTGAATTCCCTAATAAATTTCTGATACACCAGGATTTATTTTTCAAAAAAATTCAAATGCTGCCCACTCTTTTGGCTGTCATGCCTTTGGCAATGGGCACACCAAACAAGAGACAAGAGGTATGGCAAGAGTTCTCTGAGTTTCAAAAATACACTGAAGAACGTGTTTATTAAACATGGCTCGCCTGACTAGGAGAAAAGAAACAAGCCAATTCACCCTGATAAGGGTGGTCCTGGAATGTGGGTGGCAGCATATTAATATGAAATGGCAGGTATAAGCATGCTTGAAGACTAAGCAAGGAGAGTCTTATACAACTATGATCCTCTTCTGGCAAATGAATAATAAAGAGTAATTCACTTTTTGAAATAATTCACTAAAAGTGGTTCCTGACATTTTTTTCTCAACATTTTTAATCTCATGATAATACAACACATGCTATTGAAATATGCCATTAAATGCCCTGCTCAAGTTTGTTCTTATTTTGAGAACCTACTATGCAGACCCTGTTCTAAGGGCTGAAAATAAATGATGAACAAGACACATAAGCCTGCCCTAACTCTAGTGGGGCTTATAGTCTAGTAGAGCTCAAATTCTCGCATGGGAGACAATGAACAAGGGAGTCAAACCTGTGAAAAAAGTAAAAATGTAATTTCAAGTATCAATAAGGGCTATGAAGAACAATGAAGCAGGAAAAAGGGACAGCGAAGAGGATAGAAGGTCGTCAGAGAAGGCTTTCTGAGAAAAGAACTCAATGAAGTAAAGGAGAGCCTCAATAATGAGAATGTAGACCACTCTAGTCTGAGGACACGGGTATGGTATGTCTTAAAAAGAATAAGAAGGCCCAGAGAGGAATGAGCAAGGGGGATGGCAGGCAATGAGATACTATAAGGGGCATCTAAGTCATGATCAGGGATCTGAATTCTACTCTAAGTGAGATGGGGAGTCCCCAGAGCAGCCCTGTCCACAGTGTACGCCATCTATGTGGTTCTATATTTTCAAGTAGCTTCATTAAAAAAGGTAAACATACATGCAATCAGTTTTAATAATGTTACTTAACCCACTAAATTCAAAATATAATTTCAACATGCAATCAATAAAAAAATGAATAAAGTACTTTATTTCTTCTTTTGTATACTAAGCATTTGAAATGCATCACGGATTTTACCCTTATAGCACATGTGGTTTGAACTAGCCATGGTCCAGGGGCTCCAGAGACACACGCCGCTAGTGCCTACCGCACCGGCAGCACCACAGGGTTCTGGGTAGGGGACACACTAAATTAAGAGTGGAAACAGGATTAGGCTTTAGGTCACTGGACTCAAATTCAGTTTATTTTGCTACTCCAGGAAACTTGGTTGTACATGAGTATTTCAGACATGAGTCTAAGTTAAAGAAAACAAAAACAAAGTAAAGTTGCATTTTCTTTCTGTTTTTTATCATTATACTCATGGCTATCACTGTAGTAAAGTTTTCATTTTCCTTTAATTACAACATATGATTATTGAATAGTCAAACAATACAAAAAGGTATAGAGTAAAAAGTGAGAATTTCCTGTACTTCTACCTCCTAAAGACAAGCAGTAGGGGTTTCATTAGATTCTCACAGATTTTTAATACATATATACTAAAATGTAAATATGTATATTTCTTCTTTTAGGAAAAAAACAGGTTCAAACCAATCCACACTGTTGTGAAACCACCTTTTCTCCGGTAACTAATATTTTATAGTCATTTTTCTAAACCATGGGTGTCCTTAAAAGAGGGGCAAGCCAAGAGTTAACAGCTCCACCGTGCACAGGACACTTGAGATGAAGAGTACTAGACAGAAAGACAACATAGGAGGGTTCCAAAAAATACAAAAGTATCCCAGGTGGCCAGCCCTGGCTCCAAAATAAATGTTTCTGACCATGCATAAGTTTATGTCTCTAAGACCCAGTTTCATCAACTGTAAAATAGATAGATTAATAGTATCTACCTCAGCAGGGTCTGTGGGAAACAAATCAGATACAGTGCTTAAGCACAGTGCTGAGGACACAGTAAATAGTCAATAAATAATTACAAAAATAATCACTGTTATCTTTGCTTTAGGAATAGAAAATCAGAAGATGTGCAAGTATTCTGAAAACAGAAAAGCACTTTACAATGTGGCCATCAACCAGAAGTAAAAAATACAACCACAAAGGAGAAGCACATGAGGTTAGGAAAGGCAATCTTAAAATGGTAGCCAGCCTTAAACTATTGCCCACTAAAAGCTTCTCAGAGAGGAGGTCAGTACCAGGTCACACCCAGAGCAATTTGTACATACAGCTCTTCTGCACCTGTCCTACACCTCTGTATTAAAAAACCTAGGCCTTTTCATAGCAAGGACTCCAAGGACACCTTAAAATGCAGGTCAACACTGATTCCTTCAGCCCAGCAGCCTTGCTCTGAAAATCTAACCCAGGAATAAGTACGGAAGAGAGATGTCTTCGTTAACATCACTAAAAACACCCCATGCTCAGCACAAGGAAATCACATTGACAGCAAAAGCAATCAGGAGACAATAACCTGGTCTTTGATGAGTTCCACTGCAGATTCCTCAAGATCCAACTCATAGCACAACCTCATGAAAAGTGGTCCAAATTTATACTCTCCGAAAGTCACATTTCTGTTCTCTGCATGGTACCTGGTAATCAAAATGATTCCATGAGCCAAACAGTGGATGCAGGGAAAAGGACAGAAAGATTGTGGCATATACTCTGCTAAACATTGGGGACACAATAAAGCATGAGGTACTCCCAGTCTGGAGGGAGAAAAGTACAGAAATGAAGATAATCAGAGGAATTCTGGAGTGCAGAAGTATACCAGGCATTTAAATAAAAGTGTCAGATGCCCACATAATCATGTGAAATAAAAGAATGGAAAAATGTACATTGTAATCATCTTCTCAATTTATTAACAACCTGCTAGGACTTAGGGTTAGCATATGTCAGGGAGTAACAGGGACCTTGCATCAGCAAGCCCATGACAACGGCACTGTCTGTGTAGACCTCATCTAGAGAGGAACAAATGGAAGCAGTGAAGTGATGCTATGCTCTGTCCCTCTCAAATCTGACTTCTCCATATAGGATGGCAGACAACCCCTACAGATGTACTTTACAATTTAGACCCATCTCTGTTTTTCTCTGCTCAGGCAAAGGCATATGTGAACTACCATCAATTAACAATTGAACAAATTAAACACGATTCTGAAGTTTAGTTTTACGAAAAGGCTAATTTCAAAGACAGTGACATCTTAGATGTGGCTTGAGATTTCTACAAGCAGTCAGCCACCAGTGAGAACTGTAGAACTGAAAATTGCTAGCATAAATTTACTTTCAATAACCAACTCTTTCTGTTTTAGACACCAAGAAGACAATCTGGTGACAAAATAAGTACCTCATGATTACATGTAAACCAGAGTTTAGTAAGACTCATTATGTGAATAAATCACACATAACATGGGGAGAAGCTGACTTTAAAGACAGAATACTTTTTACCCTGCAGAAATCACAGAAGAAAGTCAGAGTAACATTATGGATAGTTTATCTAAACATACATACTGCCAAACAGAATGACGATATGTACTTTTATTTATTTATTTTTTAATTTTATTTACTTATTTGAGAGAGCAAGCAAGTGAGCACAAGCAAGAGAGAGCACAAGCGGGCGGGGGGGGCGGGCAGAGGGAGAGGGAGAAGCAGACACCCCACTGAGCAGGGAGCCCAACAAGGGGCTCCATTCCAGGACCCAAGGATCGTGACCTGAGCCGAAGGCAGATGCTTAATTGACTGAGCCACCCAGGCGCCCTGAGAACATGTACTTTTAAAGATGCATTTCATAATCGAATTATAGAAGTAACAAAATATATTCATTGCTTCATTACAAGTTATGAATTAAATTATGTCAAAGCTTCAGTTGTATACCTTAAATACACATGACTTTTAGTTGTCAACTATACCTCAATAATACTGGAGGGAAAAAAGAATTAAGTTATTAAAAGCAGCATAGTATAGTGATTAAGGATTTTTAGACTCTGATTCCAAACTGACAGTTCAAATCCCAGCTCTTTTACTAACTGTATAATGATGAGCAAATTAATTAGCCACTCTATGCCTCAATTTCTTCATCTATAAATGAAGATAAAAGTCCAACTCAAAGGGTTTTTGTGAGGATTAAATGAGATGACATGCCTAGCACACAGAAAACCTTCCATGTATGTTAGCTTTTAAGAAATGTAAAGTATGCTGTGGAAAAAAACTTTAAAAATCAAAATATCCCAAAAATAGCATTATGAAAAATTTGTGCCAGATTAAAAACAATGCAAAAACAAAAGTTTTCCCTACTTAGAGGATATTTACACTAATAAAAACGCTAGAAATTCACAGAAATAATATATTACCTCTTCTTGACAAGAAATGTTCAAATCGGAGAATCTAAAAATCTCCCTATAAACCACATAACAGCAGGTGGTCAAGATTATGGAGGGATTAAGCTCCTCCTCATTTTTGACTCAATAAAGAGCTTACGTTCTGGCTCATTACTATTCTTCCCCAGCAGTGGGGTGCCTGTCTCAGCAAGAGAGAGAACAGGATGGTTAGGCCATGGACCTGCCCATCTTCCCACTTTTTCTCCACAAGGGAAGAGACAGCAATTCGGTGGAGTTACCAGCATCGAATTAGCTTTGGGTAGTAAAAATAGACTGACAGTAAAACAGGCCAGAGGGTCTCAATGATTCAACTTTGTGAAACAGAAAACAGAAACAGAATTAGGATGCTAATACTGTGTGACTGTAAATTAGCATAACCCTCCTAGAAAATAATCTGACACTTTGTATCGAGAAGTTTTCAAAGATTCCTATCTTCTGATCACCACCAAAACATAAAGAGTAAATTTTATGCATAGAGTTGCTCATATGGCATTATTTATACTGATGAAAAATCAAATAATGCAGACATTCAACAATAGTGGCACAATTAATTAGAAAACCTGACATACAATGGAATATTGTGAAGCCATTAAAATATAATTCCTAAGTATATCATATTTTTAAAAGATTTTATTTATTCATTTGACAGAGAGAGAGCACAGGCCGGGGGAGCAGCAGGCAGAAGGAGAGGGAGAAGCAGGCTCCCCACTGAGCAGGGAGCCTGACATGGGGCTAGATCCGAGGATCCTGGGATCATGACTCGAGCCAAAGGCAGACACTTAAATGGCTGAGCCACCCAGGCGCCCCAACTCCTAAGTATATCATTAACAAGCAAAAACATATATGCTAGAATACTAACTAGAAAACACTATCATTATATATACAACAGTTAGAAATGTGTAAATAAACCCCACCAAAACCACACAACCTTTGCACACAAAAAATCAGTGAGAAAATGTATACGAAGAATATCAACAGTGGTTGTTCCATTCAGAGGTGGAACTCTTGCTTCTCCCCCTGCATGTGGGTTGGCCAGGTGAATTGCCTTGACCAAGAGAATGTGACAGAAGTGAAGCTGTGCCAGCTCTGGGCTGCTTTACAAGGCCTGCAGCTTCTAGTGCTAGTCAGTAGAAGCTGGGTGCTAGTGTAGCCCAGGCTAGACTCACGAATGGTGAGACATTCCAAGGGGAAAGAAGGGCCACATGGACTCAGGCACCAGAAATGTAAGTGAAGCTTCTTGGACCTTCCAGCTCAACCTAGCCAGCAGCTGACTATGGATGAGCAAGTGACTAGCTGACACCAACAAAGAGCTGCCCCACTAACCGGCTTCAATTCCTGACCCACAGTAATAATAGAGAATAGACAGTAATAAATAATAGAGAAGTAATAAATAATTGTCTTGTTAAGCCATTAAGTTCTGGTGTGTAACAGCTAACCTTAGGGGCTTTGGGTGGCTCAGTTGGTTAAACGACTGCCTTCGGTTCAGGTCATGATCCTAGGGTCCTGGGATCGAGCCCCACGTCAGGCTCCCTGCTCAACGGGGAGCCTGCTTCTCCCTCTCCTTCTGCCTGCTACTCTGCCTGCTTGTGCTCTGTCAAATTAAAAAAAAAATTAAAAGTTCTGGTATGCAATAAGAGACAACTGAAATATCAGAATTTATGACATATTTCTTCTACTTTTTTGGTGTTTTTCCAACTTTCAATGAATTTAGTGTAATTTTGTGTTTTTTTCCTTTTTAAAAATAACACAAATTTTTTCACATTATAAAATTGATAATGCCCACTGTAGACAAGTTTGAGAAATCAAAAAAGTACATATTTAGAGAAAAAAAAATGTGTAATTCCCAGAGAACCACAGTTAACTTTTGGTACATATCCTTCCAGTATTCTATATACGAACACCCTGTAGTTCTCTCTATAAATGTACAATATAAATGCAGGTCCATGTACAGAAATATATTTTTCAAGAATGGTTAAAAAAAGGGGGGGTGGGGAGATGGGGTGGCTGGATGATGGACAGTGGGGAGGGTATGTGTTGTGGTGAGCGCTGGGTGTTATGTAAGACTGATGAATCACAGACCTGTACTCATGAAACAAATAATACATTATATGCTAATTAAAAAATACAAAGGCCATGAACTTAATTTCAGAAATGAAGCCTGCTGATTTCATGTCATACACTTCCTGAGTAAGCGAAACCTTTGCTGGGTTTCCCAACAGCAGGCTATGATTACCCGTGTGTTCCCCTGACATGAGAAACTGACAAGGGATCAGAGACAATGGAACATAATAGGCATACGCCAGGAGGAGGGAGCCGAGCCAGGAGTCCACTGAAGTGATCCAAGTGAGATACGATGAGGCCTGAACTAAGACACTGGTAATGAGGGCAGAGAGAGGAAGGCTAAAGATGAGAGATACCAGGGAAGCAGAAGCAGTGGTATTTCTTATCCTGTCAGGGAGGAGAGCAAATGAGATTAGGGGAAAGAGGCTCCCTGGTATCTGTCCTGAGTGGTCAGTGCAACAGAAAACACAGCAAAAAGAAGCAATCTGAATGTGAAGACCTAGGGGACATAGGAGAAGAGTTCATCAGGCTGGTGATTTCTTGAGGCATGAATTCTGGTTTTCTATCCTCAGTACCTGGCATATAGAAGGAAACCAGTAAGTGTTTGATAAATGAATATAAATGTCTGGAGCTCAGTGCAGGCATGTGGACAAGAGATTTAAAAGTCATCAATGCACAGGTGACAGCTGAAACCTTGTTAAGTGGATGAGATTGTTCAGGGAAAAGAACAGAGTGAGAAGAAACCAAAGCTGGCAGAATTCTAGGGAAATGGCTCACCTGTAAATGACATTTTTAACCAGTTCCATATCGTCCCGGGAATCGCTCAAATGAAGCAAGGTTTTCAACTCCTCCTTCAGGATGAGCTTGTTCTGCGTCAATTTCTCTTCCATGTTTCTCAGATAGGTTGCTGGAAGAAAGCATGGTATAATGGTCATCACTCAGGCTGATTGGGACTATCAGGAATCTGACCTCAAGAAGAAGGGGATGCTGGATCCTGGCACATTGCAAAGGGGCATTGAGAGGGGCTCATGACCATGTAGCTCCCATCACTGGCTAGTCTCCTCAAGAACAGTGTCACAGAAGGTCTACGAAGCAAACTAGCTATGCTACAGGCCAGAGGCCCACTCAAAACTTTCTAACATACAATCTGTGGGGGTAGGAACACAAGAATATGCAATTTGGACTACCTGGGTGATCCACACATTAAAGTTTAAGGACTCATGTACCAGAGGCTTACCTCAAAGAACTGTACCTATAGGTGACCCATTAGGAAAAAAAAAAAAAAAAGTAATCAAGACATCCAAACCATCAATTGGCAGGGTACCTAGCAGGAAAAGTGAAAGGAAAATATGCAGTGAAGGTGGGTTTGCCCCAATGGCTGACCCACACAATTCAGGAATACTTCACGTCTCTTTCATTTGGTTCAACTCTACCACTCATTTATCTTGGTCTCCCTACTCAGTTGTTAGAAAGCATGACACAGAACTACATAATGCACAGGGGGTAAAAAAACTACCCTCTAAATAGCAGCAAACACTCTCTGTAACAGAATCATATCAAGGTGATTACGCTCTATCTCTGTTCCCTATCTTGTATTTGACTGACTATGGAGACAGTCAAACACCAAAAGGAAACACTGCTTCTTGGCATTAGGAAGGGACCAGATTCTCAGCAGAATGGGGGGTGAGATGCAAGGGCAGCATCAAAGAAGCATGTGAGCTGCCAATTAAAGTCTACAGGTTTTGCTCTAAGACCCAGAGCTTTGAAGGAAGGCTGCTTAAAGGAATGGTACAATACACATTAAAACACAAGATTGGGAAGCTGAGACAGACACTGTTCTCAATTTACAAGAAAAGAAGGCCCACCTGCTTTAAATTAATGCTGTGGACCTTTCAATCGTTATTTGCAGAACCATATCATGGTTGAAGGTTTTACAGATGGAAAGACCTGGGCTTTGCCACTTGTATGCTATGGGGAGATGCTTGTTTGTGAGATTTGATTCCTCACGTGTAAAGTGAGGATCATGAGAGCTACCTCCTGGGGTATCCTGAGATAATGTATGTTAAGCACTTAGCACAGGGCCTAGCACATAGTAACTGCCAGTAAATCATACACATTATTCTCATCTTCATTCTGTCACTTGTCAGATTTAAGTGAATTTATTCTGTTAACTATTTTTAAATAATTTCTAATATAAAAAATTTTAATGGAATGACTTTATATCTTATACTTTTTAATAACCTTTAAGAATCCAAAACTTCAAGAGATGTAATTTGCATTTTAAAACAAATAATCAAGATTTAAGTGCTCGTAACACAGGGAAGGCTAAGCTATGGTTCATGCCCTGAAAGAACTTAGTCTATTTGAGAAAACAAGATATATTTATACAAAGCTATCTGAAAACAGTGATGGAGGGGGTGACATTTGACCAACTATACACATGATACAGAAAAAAGATATCAGGGTGGCAGAAGCAGACCAGGTATGGTTGAAGTGGAGAAGTACCAGAGAGAAAGGAAGGGGCTGGAGAAGGAAGGGGTTGGGAGAAACTCAGGAGAGGGGAGCATTCCTGGTATGAGAATCAGCATGAATAATATCACAGGATGGGGCGGGCGAGGGAGCGCTAAGGGGAGAACTGTGACTAGATTAACAGGAAATCATACTGAACTCCAGAAAGGGTAAGGTCCCACTATGGAGGAGCTAGAAAGTCAGGGAGGTGTGCACAATGTGGTATATGAACAGAGGACCATTGTGGGTTTTTATAATGAAGAAATGTGGATGGGATTTTATAAATATCAATCGGACCATGGAGTAAACTGGCACTTAGCATATGAACATATGCACAACTGTCACAGCCTTAGAATGACTATGACAACTGGATATAACTAGAAAATGACACGAACCCTAATTCTGCCAATTTTACAAAGCTCCAAAAGGTAAACGGGTAAAAAGAAGACTGAGGTAAAATCCAGACTGAGTCTCCCATACTGAAGATGAACATATTCTCCCTCTCCCTTTTAAAGTTTATGTTCTCATTCCACAGGTGGTATAATGTAATAATATGATTAGTGGAGAGGTGAGGAAAGAGTGATTTCTGGAGGGCCAGAAGCAATAAGTGTTTTTTAGGTGCTCAGAAACATTTGACGGTGAGAGTAAGGAGATTTGAAAAAGTCAGTAGGGACAAACTAAACTGTTACTGAAAGAGAGGAGTCTTGTTATGTTTATAAAGGAATTTAAAGTACTGGAAAAAATGTGCAGGAGAGAGGGAATGAATTCAGTAAGATTTCTCAGATGCTGAAAGGAGTAAGACCTAGGGTGGTGGTGTGTTTTCAGCTTTTTGTAATAAAGATATTCAAACATAGCCCAAAACAGAGAGAGAACATTATGCTCTCATGTGTCCATCACCCAGGCTCAACAATGACTAATATTTTGATAATTAAAAAAAAAAAAAAATCTTTGTTTTAGCCTATTGATTTTTTCAGCCGAGGAGAAAAATATGAAAATGCATCACAGGGGGCACCTGGGTGGCTCAGTTGAGCTTCCGACTCTTGATTTCAGCTAAGGTCATGATCTCAGGGTCACTGGATCAAGTGAGCCCCTAGGCAGGCTCCATGCTCAGCAGGGAGTTCACTTGAGATTCTCTCCTCTCCTTCTGTCCCTCCTTCCCTTCCCCCCCCTCACTCTCTCTCAAATATTAAAAAAAAAAAAAAGAAAGAAAGAAAGAAAGAGAAGAAAAGAAAATGCATCACACATGAGATGGTTTTGTTTCACTATATTTCACTTGGGTATATATATGTATGCGTATACTGGAGATACTATGTAAAATATACTTTTTACTCTGAGGTGCATCAAAAATGTGAAAGCCAATCATCTCAAGCAGTTCTTCTCAGACTTTACTGTGCATATTAATAGTCTGGGGCTCCAAGTTTGGTATTTCTATGAAATTCCCAGCTGCTGCTGACCCATGATACTTAGTCTGGGTGGCATGGATCTAGAGAGAACTGGTTCCAACACTAATTTTAGCATTTCTCTGGGATCCTGGGAAATGTGACAAGAGGAGAGTGGTAGACTCTGTAGTAGTAGAAAGTGAGATGAAAAGTACATTTAAGGGTAGTCTAGGAAATTAAGAATAATCCATGTCAATTTTTTCTCAGACAGGGATAAAGAGAGAAAAAACTTGAATAACACATCAGTGAAAGAATTAACAAAACAGATTCAATTACCTTTGGTGCCAGGAAGATGATACGCAATAGCCACCTTCTTATGCTGAAATTCTTTTAATTTCACAATATTATCTGTAAGTAGGTATCTTTTAGCTAAAAATCAAAGAAAAAAGTAAAATCATTTTCACTATCTTATACTTAGCAAAAACATGAGTAGAACTTGATTGCCTCTTTCTAATAACTGATCTTCACTTAACATAAATAATCCATCTGGACAGCTACAAATAAGTCACCCTGGTGGAAAAGTAAACATCTCTAAACTATCGGAAAATTCAAATTCTCAGCAAGTTTTGTTTCTGTGTGTGAAAGGAGCTAGTGATTAACTGTATGGAGACGGGTTGAGAGGAATCTGGGAAGTGAAAGACAAATATACATTCCCCATCTAGTTATGGGATTACAAGGGAATAAAAAAACAAAAAACAAAACTAAAGGTTACTGTTTAAACGTCAAACTGGTGGATCTAGTTTCGGTTTATCTAGGTGGAAGCACATAGGGTAGTGCAAAGAGCTAGAGTGTGACCATTGGAATTCCCGGTTCTACCATTTGTGAAATCAGGAGTTAAGGCCTCTCAGAATTGGGTTGTCGGTATCCTCATGATGTATCAGAAATCACTAACCACAGCTTAGTAGAAAAGATAAGTTTGGGAAACATTTCTTTTGGATGCTTGGCTGTGCACGGAGTGGAGCCTGGTCAAAGAATCATTCACTGAAGACCTCTTCTGTAGGGCAATAACAGGTTACCAACAAAAAGTATCGTCTATTTACGAGGAGAGAGTCCAGAGATACGGTTACAGCAGGATTGTACTGTTGTGCGGCCTGAGTGCAAATCCCTCCTCTACCACTTTCCTCTCACCTTGGGCTAATTACTCGGTCTAGCTGTTTCCACCCCTGTAAATAGAGAAAAGAATGGGAACCTCTCTCACTGGGGGTTGTGAAGAGAAAAGGAATTAATATACGTAAAACGCATAGAGTAATACCTGACACCAAGTGTTAGGTATTTCATTATCACTCACCAGTATATTCAAATTTAATCATTTCCATAAAGTTATTAAGGGACCATTTTACAAATGAAGAAACCTGCACAAGGTCTTTCAGACTATTAGCGGCAGAGCCGGAGCGCCAAATTCAGAGTCTAAGACCTCTGCTACCAAATTGTGCAGAACGGTACACCCAAGGGGGAGAGATTTCCAGACAACAGCGTCGCCTCCTCTGAGGGACTACTACAGCCCCAAGGTCGAGACCCCAGCCCGGCCGTCCTTTCGTTCCCAGGCACACGGGTGTCCATGACACCCAGAGCCAGGGCTGCACACGCACGCAACCAGAGGACGAAAGAGCAAGCTCGAACGCTCCAGGCCAGTGGGTGACCGAGGCGCTGTTATTTCCCAAGTGATGCCTGCTGAGGTGTTAAACCCCCTTCCTGCCCATTCCTCCCCTCCTTCACGACCAGAGGCCGCGGATACCTCCGAGAGGGCAGCGGCAGCACGCGGAGCCTGAGCCTCCCACCCGGGGATATACCGAACTCCGCAGCGCCCGCAGCACGCCGCGTCTCGGCAGCCGAACCGTGGCGGCCATGCTGTCCCGGGCCACACCAACTACGGGAGCCGGGGAGGGGGGCGGGGCGGCGGCCTAGACCCCACCCCTTCCTCTGCCCGCAATCCCCGGACGTTCGTCCTCTTGGTATGCTCCAAGATGGCCGCTCTCGCGCTGAGCCGCTGCTTCCTTCGGGCGCGGAAAGTGCCTCTGCCTCCGCGCTCGCTGGCAGGTTGGTGGCTGTTCTGCTTTCGTGGGGCTACTTCTTTAGTCACCTGATAACTCCTCCTTAAGTGAAGGGAGCTGTGGGCTTTCAACAGGACAAGAAATGCTTCTGGGATCTAGTTGCTAACCATTTGGAGCGTTGGGTAGTACAGAAAGGGGAAGTATGGCCTCGGACCCGTCTCCTTACCCAAAATAGTGCCTGCGTGTCCAGAGGTGTGCAGAGTAGATGAAGTTATGGCATGAGGTCTTTTGCATATGATTTGCAGGGTTTGTGTGTTAGGGTCTCTTTCCTGCCATTGAAGAGTCCAGATGTGCCCACTTCAGAGCTAGGAAGTTTTCCCCCCTGCTTAAATGTCTTTGGAGGGGCGTCCTAAACCTACTCCTCACCACCTCACAATTGGAGACCTTTGATCTCCACTTGGGATAGGAATTTCAGTGCTAATTTCTCATTATCTGATGACCTGGGGCACAACTTTTGAGTGACCTTTCTATGCCACAGTTTTCCACGTGTAGAGCCAATAGATACTTCTGAAGTACAGTTAGTTGACCCTTGAACAACTCAGGGGTTAGAGGCATGATCCCAGGCAGTTGAAAAATTGTGTTTAACTCCCCCCAAACTTAAGCATACTGTTGACCTTACCTGTAACAAACAGTCCATTAATCCTTATTTTTTGTTTTATGTAATTGTATAGTGTATTCTTCACAGTAAAGTGAGCTACGGAAAATGTTACTAAAATCTTTAGTAAAGATTTAGTAAATCTAGAGGACTATACTGTATTTATTGAAAAAAAATCTGTGTAAGGGGACCCCTGCAGTTCAAAGTGGTATTATTCAAGGGTCAACTGTACTTGGGTAGTCGAGTAAACGGCACCTCACTCAAAATGTTTTTGATGGGTCTGCTGACAAAGACATTAGAAAAAGTTGACATTTATACAAGCTAAATCCTGATAGGTGTATGATTATATGACTAAAATGCAGTAATCACAATTGATGTTTCCAGTGCCCGTTATCTTCTCTTTCCAGCATACCCTGTAGCTCCTATTAAAAACCAACACTTACACTGTTGTTCACAGTTCTTTAGGAACAGCTATTAAATATCAACTCAAAACCTCTTTGTTGGCCACCAGGTTTTCTGAAGATTAACTGGTTGACCTAGCAGGTGAAAATGTTTAGTGCCACACATTAGGTGAAGCAGTATGTACAGTACCTGGCGTCTCAATAAGAATTAGCTGCTGTACCTATTTGCTAGCATGCTTAATTATGGCTCTTAGTAAATGCTTTTCAATTTACACAAGACCTTGAATTGTGTATCAGGGAGACTATCATGGTTGCATAGTGTTTGAGGCAATCATTCTAACAAGAGAATGGATATTAGATAAGGGTGAATTGAATTTCCAGTTAGCATTTTGTTCTCCATTGGTGAACTTGTAGTCAGATATACCTGTGTTGTTACATTGTGGTAGCTATTAGCTACATGTGGCTATTGAAATTAGTTAAAATAAGAAATTCAGGTTTTTTAGTCACACTGACCACATTTTAAGTGTTCAGTGGAGACCTGTAGTTAGTGGCTACAGTTGCACAGCTCAGAATTGATCATTTCCATCATTAGGTTCTATTGAATAAGCCCTAGGTTAGACCACAGAAGAAAGGAGTCTGGAAATCAGGAACTGGAAGCTATAAGGCAAGTAATAGAAGTATGCTGGATAGTGCATTAAGGACCATCCCGGATTTGACAATGCAGATAAGGTGATTGACTTTTAAGTCAGCATAACATCTTGAGCCATTACAGGATAAGAGAGGGGAAAATGTACTTGGTACAAACTAGAAAAGTGGTTTAAAGTTATGAAGAGAGTAGAGAAAGCAAATTTATTGGGACCTATTACATAGTGAACATTTGAGTAGGCACTTAACATGCCCTCATTTCAACTATGATACAAGGTAGGCAATATTTCTCTATTTTACATATGATGAAAGCGGCTCAGAGACTATGCAACTTGCCCAGGTTTCATACCATTTATTAGCCAGGCAAGGATTCCAGCTGCAGACTTTGTGACTCTAGAGCATATCTGTGTCGACAATCAGTGCTTTTCTTTGGATGGAAAACATGTTTGGAGACATTGGTCTGAAGGCCAAAATAACTATAAAAAGAGTAAGTATGTAGAGCCAATCACTTTTCACTAAACTTTGAAATTCTGGTCTTCGGAGGTAGCTTTTCTGGAATTAAATAGAGAAAATATTTTTTATGGTGGAGAGTTTTATCTTAGAGAATATGGTTGCCCCCAAAGCTAACTGGCTGAAGGATAGCCAAGTTCAAGAAAGGTTTATGTGTATTGTTGGGTGGCATTTGCGGAGTGGGATTATTCAGACTCAGACCTGAAACTGGGAGGCTGTTATTGTTTTATCCACTTACTACTTCAGTGTGGTCTGAGGAGTAACATCGTATCACATGGAAAATTGTTAGAAATACAGAGTCTCTGTCCCCACTGAAGACCTACTGAATCAGAACCTTCACTTTATCAAGGTTCACATACACATTAAAGTTTAAGAAACTGTTTTAGATTTTCCACTTTACCATTGTTCACCCAATTTAACATTCTGTCTGACTTCATAGGAGATCTGATTCTAATGTTAATATACAGACCTTCCAACTACTATACAGAAATGCAAAGATTTTTTTAAATGATGTCATTTGTAAAGTATCAAAAAGATAAACATCTTGCTTTAAAAGGCTTACAGAAATGGAATGTTTGTCTTTCTTAAGGTATAGTAATTTCCTTTTGCTTTTGTAACAAATTACTACAAATTAGGTGGTTTTAAAAAATACAGGTATTATGGTACAGTTCTGTAGGTCAGAAGTCTGACATAAGGTCTGGCTGTGCTAAATTCAAGGTGTTGAAAAAGATGGGTTTCCTTCAGGAATCTCTAGGGGAAAATCTGTTTCCATGTCTTTTCCCTCTTCGAGAGACCCCTTACATTCCTTGGCTGATGCTCCCCTTTTTCAAACATCTTGAACATGAGCAAGTCAAGGCCTTATATCACCCCATCCTTCACACATCATAGTGTTGCAGGATTTTTTTCTCCGTCCGTGCCCACGGTTCTTCGTCACGCCACTTCGAAGTATGAAGAGGGAGACCAGACAGTAGTGGGCAGAGAAGCAAGGTTTACTGAACGATAGCAAAGTGATAGCACAAGCTCCCAAGGAGGGAGGGGACCCAAAGGGGTTGCCACGGGAGTTTCTAAGTCTAGGGCTTTCTATGGGCTTGTTGGTGGGCTGTTTCAATCTGATTAACGGTCCCTGCACCTGTCATCCAATCAGATTTTTGTCACCTGTCTATCATATGGGAAAGGGTGGAGGGCTCCTTCCTGGGTGGTGTAAGTCCTTTTAAGGATGGTTTCCTCTTAGGGCGGGGGCGGGGGCGGGGGCGGGGGCTTGTCCCTGCCTGCCTGTCTTCCAATTACCCTTCATCAGCAGTACCTGTCTTCCCCCTTTTTCACTTTTGAAGACCTTGTGACTACATTGGGCTCACCTGGATAAACCAGTACAATCGCCTCATTTTAACATCATTGATGATCTTTTTTTTTTAATTTTTTTTTTAAGATTTTATTTATTTGCGAGAGAGAGAATGAGAGACAGAGAGCATGAGAGGGAGGAGGGTCAGAGGGAGAAGCAGACTCCCTGCTGAGCAGGGAGCCTGACGTGGGACTTGATCCCGGGACTCTGGGATCGTGACCTGAGCTGAAGGCAGTCGCTTAACCAACTGAGCCACCCAGGCGCCCCAACATCATTGGTGATCTTAACCTCAATCCCCTTTAGCTGTGTACCCTAACATGTTCACAGGTTCTGGAGATTAAGACATGGACGTCTTTTGGAGGGTCATTTTTCTGCCTACCAGACTTGGCCACTCATTCCTACATTTATCATTGGTTTCTATTGGTCTAGGAAAATTTGCTATTTGCCAAATTCAAATTCTTCGTCCTTAAACCCTTTTGTTCTATACTCAATGGAAATGGAAAGTGATTACTGGTTACTTTCTTATAAAGCAAACATTAAAAAGTTCATGTATATAAGGGTTGCTGGGTTTACCTTTTGTAGATTTACTGGTCTTCATTTGTTTTTTGTTTTCAGTTCATGTGATCCCCCTTGAACAACTGTACACAAAGGGCACTCTTGGACTCCTGTCTTTCCCCACAAGTACCTCCCCTGCCTTTTTGTCTTCCAATTAGAAACTCTTTGAACATTGACCTTCATAATTGTCTTTTCTGACTCCAGAATAGGAAAGGGTGATTTCTTATGCTAGAAGCAGAAATAGAGAATAAGTAATAAATTATAATAATAATAGAGAATAAGTTGGGGCGCCTGGGTGGCTCAGTTGGTTAAGCAAGCGACTGCCTTCGGCTCGGGTCGTGATCCTGGAGTCCCGGGATGGAGTCCTGGGATCAAGTCCCGCATCGGGCTCCCTGCTCGGCAGGGAGTCTGCTTCTCCCTCTGACCCTCCTCCCTCTCATGCTCTCTGTCTCTCATTCTCTCCCTCTCAAATAAATAAATAAAATCTTTAAAAAAAAATAATAGAGAATAAGTCACTGGTATCCTGATGTATATAGCTTAATAGTCCTTAGCTCATGCTCACATAGAGAAGAGCTGCTCTTGTTTCCCACAGAAAGGAGACACCTTCCTGATTTTAGAAATTGGAATTCAGTTTGCATAGAAATGCTGCTATAAATTATGAATGGATTAGGTGAATTTATTCTTTTGGTTCTATGTAAGAACAAGCAGCGACCTTAACTATCACCAAGGTCAGTTCCTTCATTTGTAACTGCAGGGTCTCTAGTTTTCTACCAACTGGTAAAATTCAGACCAAATCTCAGGTCTCCCACTCCTGACTTGTACAGCTACACAGCTAATGCCATTGGATTTTATTCATCCTTCTTGGCAGATGTAGGAATGTAACTAACAATTTATAACATTGTTTCTATGAAAAATGTGTGCTTTGAAAAAAATCTATGAAAAACGTTTCTATGAAAAGGTATTATGCCAAACATCTAATTTTTTTTTAATAACACACTTAAAGTGTAGGCACTTTTTAATGGTTATTATTTCTTGAAAAATCTCTTAGTTGCTCTTTGAGACAGTCTTTGGAAGCTTTTCCATATTACTGCATCATTGCTTAAGCTTTAGGCCTCAAATTTAGCATATTATTAGTAAAGTTTTGACCTGTAATTACGGTAAGGGAGGGTGACTCCTTTTAATTAAGGTAATTAAGGTAACTCCCACGCTGCCGCTGTTGCATTATGGACTGTGTGGTACCTTTAGATACTTATCTGCCATTCCTTCCTTTTTTTTCTTGTAAATAGCTTTATTGAGATACAATTCACATATCATTACAATTCACCCATTTCAATAATTCAGTGCAGTGGGTTTTTTTTTTAATATATGTATATACACACAGTGTTGCACAATCATCACCTTAGCACATTTTTATCACCTCAAAAGACCCCTCATAGTCATTAGCAGTCACTCCCCATTTTCCTACAAGCTTTCCTGACTCCCTCCCCTCCAGTTCTAGGCAACCACTAATCTGCTGTTTCTATGGATTTGCCTATTATGGACATTTCATATAAATGTATGTGGCCTTTTGTGACTGGCTTCTTTTTCACTTAACAAAGTTTTCAAGGTTCATTCATGTTGTAGCTTGTATCAGTACTTCATTTCTTTTTATTGCCAAATAATATTCTATGATAAGAATTTATCACATTTTGTTTATCTTTTTATTAATTGTTGGATATTTGCATTATTTTCACTTTCGGGCTATTATGAATAATATTGCTATGACCATTTGTATACCAATTTCTGTGTGGATACATGATTTCATTTCTCCTGGGTATATACCTAGGAGTGAGATTGCCGGGTTGCATGGTAACTCCATGTTAATGATGTAGAAAAGACGTTAGGGTTCCAAGCCGAAGGCCAAGACAGAATTCTTGAGACGTCTTTGGTGCAAAAAGGTGCTTTCATTAAAGTTCGAGGACCAGAGGGCAGAAAGAGCTGCACTGGGGTCTTGAGGAGTCGCCCATTATATACTTTCAAGCTGGGAGGGGTTAGGGATAATGTAAGCCTCCCAGGTATTTTGGAAACAAGGTTTCCAGGATCCTGAGGGGGCTAGCTATTGTTAGGAAAGGTCATTTATTACTGTTTAGTAAAAACTCAGTCCGAGACCCTTCAGATGTCTATTAATGGTTCATATATTTGGGGGATAATTGCCAACATGTATCCTGAGGGGTAGAGATAAAGGAAGTTTCCAAAGGAATTCTTATATGTGACAGTAGACTTACAGGGACCTGGGGGTTGGGCTAAGATTGCCTTTTGTCCTTAGCAGAGTATCAACATAAAGGAAGTTGAGTCCTCGGGGAATGTCACTCTACCTGTTTCAAGGACTTGTCAATGGGCTGTAGGTAGTAAGGAAATTTAATAATTTTTCTTCTGTCTTTGTCTCCCACATCATTAACATTTTGAGAAACTGCCAAACTTTTCCAAAGTGGCTGCACCATTTTACATTGTCACCTACAATATATGAGGGTTCCAGTTTCTCTACATCTTTATCATCTTTATCTGTCTTTTTTATTATAGTCATTCTAGAGAGTATCAAGTTGTATTTCAGTGTATTTTGCATTTCCCTGATGGCAAATCATATTAAACATCTTTACATGTACCTGTTGGCCATTTATCTGTGCGTTTTTGTTTTTAAGAAATGTCTGTTCAGATCCTTTGCCCATTTTTCAGTGGGTTGTCTTTTTAAATTTTGAGTTGTAAGTGCCATTTACATATTCTGGATAGAAGTCCCTTATCAGGTAAGTAACTTGCAAATATTTTCTCCATTCTGTGAGTTGGCATTTCACTTTTTTTTTTTAAGATTTTTATTTATTTATTTGAGAGAGAGAGAATGAGAGAGAGCACATGAGAGTGGGGAGGGTCAGAGGGAGAAGCAGACTCCCCGCCAAGCAGGGAGCCCGATGCGGGACTCGATCCCGGGACTCCAGGATCATGACCTGAGCCGAAGGCAGTCGCTTAACCAACTGAGCCACCCAGGCGCCCGGCATTTCACTTTCTTAACGGTGTCCTTTAAAACACAAAAGGTTCTGGTTTTGGTTAAGTTGCTGCTCATTCATTCCTTGAGCTTATGTTTATTGAGTATTGCCATATACCAGTCATTGTGCCAGGTTCTGGGAATACAGTTATATCATCTAGTGAGTTACCTCAACTCTGGCTTGTTAGGTTTCTCTTATTTACCAGTAGGGTGCTTGGTTACTGGGTAAGATACTCTTTGCTTTATGTGAAGTGAGGATAAATATGCTGATCCAGGTCAGATGGAAATGTTTTTAGGGCTAATGATTATAAAGCATTCGATTAATGAGTTAATCAACAGTTCAGCAAGTATTTGGGTTATAAGAAGGAGTTCTAGGGCTCACTTAGGCTATAATGTAGGGGCAACAAATGGCTTCTAGTACTAAAGTTATAGGAACAAAATTACCAGCATTCTTACCTGTAACATTATTGTAGAATTTTTCAGTTTTTCTGTATCTTCTACTTGTTAGAGATGGAATGCATGTTGTCAATAACTGAATTATGAACTCTGCGATATTGGTTATAGTATCATACTAGAATCTTTACATAACCTAGTACATTGAAAATATGACAAAGTTGGGCGCCTGGGTGGCTCAGTCGGTTAAGTGACTGCCTTCGGCTCAGGTCATGATCCTGGAGTCCCGGGATTGAGTCCCGCATCGGGCTCCCTGCTCGGTAGGGAGTCTGCTTCTCCCTCTGACCCTCGCCCCTCTCATGTGCTCTCTCTCTCTCATTCTCTCTGTCTCAAATAAATAAATAAAATCTTTAAAAAAAAGAAAAAGAAAAAATATGACAAAGCTATGTTTAATAAGACATAAACAACCCGTTGTGAACCCACACCTGTTAATAATTGACTTTTTTCCTCAGGTGAAAGAGGACTGCTTTCTGCAGCATATGTGGACAGCCATAAATGGGAAGCAAGAGAAAAAGAACATTGTCACCTCGGTAGGTACCTGTTGAGCTGTTAGATATGTCATGTCATTCATTCTATATGTTTACCATCATGTTCGTATGATGTATTTATGAAATGATGCTTTTATGATGGTCCCATTCAGATAAGCACATTTTAAGTCTTACAAAGAATTAGATTATTATTTTACTTGTGGCAAAATCATTTTTGCTATCCTGCAAATTTCTACTTAATTTTTGCCTTGATTAGTCTCCCTAAATTATGTAAACAATTCTCTTCTTTCTTGTTTTTTGTCCATTTTAGTCATATAGTTAGTTACCATGCAGGTTGTCTCTTTTATATTATCTGCAGAGAAAAATATATTTTATATTTTCATGCTTTTTTATTATAATTTCTTAACTTGTGGTCTTTAGAGCTCTTTCTGACTCTTTTTTTATTACCAGGTAATAGATTTGAAAGCAGTGTTATAATTTCATACAAACCATTTAGGAAAAATAGTTGGCTAACATCTTCTCAGGCAGTAGGCTCCTAATTATACTTCCCTTTCCTTGTTCTCTAGGTCATATTACACAGGTAGCAGCCTTTTCTAAAATAACAAGGCCTAGGGGTGCCTGGGTGACTCAGTCAGTTAAGTGTTGACTCTAACTCTTGGTTTCAGTTGAGGTCATGATCTCAGGGTTGTGAGATCAAGCCCCACATCTGGCTCTGCACTCAGCATGGAGTCTGCTTTAGATTCTCTTTCCCTTTCCCTCCCCCTCTGCCACTGTCCCCACTTGTGTTCTTGCTCTGTCTCTAAATAAATGAAATCTCTAAAAGAAGTCACTGACCCTATGAGCATTTTGTAGAAATATAAATACTTCATATATGTAATATACATTATATGTAACATCATGAGGACATTGATAAAGTCAGATGATTGGTGATAGTTTTATGGGACTGATGTAATTTTTTGATCAGTTCCAGTGCTGATCTAATATTCTCCCCCAGATTTCTTTCTCTGCTTTTTTGGGCTTATGTTAAAGAATAAAGTCCCCCTGTGTTTATGGATTCTTCTAATAAGTGGGGGGAAGGAGGAGGGAGACATTCTTTTGTAGCTGTCTGTGATGGCCCAGCTTGGGGTGGGGAGGGCTTTCAAAGAACTCATAATTTTCTCCCCTGATGATGTTACTGCAAGAGCAAAATCGGTTTGTATGTCCTGGAATGGCTATGTAGGCAGGGGCTAACCAAAACAGAGGTGTGGAGAATCTGAAGGTAAGTAACTACATACTTGCACTGAAACGTAGAATCAGTGTGAATAGATAGAAGTGCAGATGGGTACAGATGTGGTATACTGGCAAGGTCCAATACCAGGAATGGCATTATCATATGGGACACTGTTTAATTCACAAAATGGTGAACACTCTTGGTAAAGTTCTGAACAAGTCTAATTACCGTCTTCAGTTTACATGGTAGTTGCATCTATGGAAAATTCAGCTTATTTTCAAATTTTGCCCAAAAAAGTACTTTGCCTTTGTTTATGTGTAAAGTGGAATTAGTTCTGTCCATTATTAACAGATTGACTTTTTTTTTTTTTTAAAGATTTTATTTATTTATTTGAGAGAGCGAGAATGAGAGAGAGAGTACATGAGAGGGAAGAGGGTCAGAGGGAGAAGCAGACTCCCTGCTGAGCAGGGAGTCCGATGCGGGACTCGATCCAGGGACTCCAGGATCATGACCCGAGCGGAAGGCAGTCACTTAACCAACTGAGCCACCCAGGCGCCCAGATTGACTTTTTTTTTTATTCATGTTAATGTCTGCCATGTCATAGATGCCATGGTACATGGGGCAAATATTTTAACTTTTTATTTGTAAATAATTTTAAACTTAGGAAAACTTGTAAGAATAATACAAAAAGAGCATCTCTGTACTCTTTGCCCAGATTCACCAGTTGTCATCATTTTGACCCTTTTGTTTTTGCTTTCTCATTCTCTACACACACATTTTTTTTTAACCATTTGAGAGTTTGTTACATATGTTATAGCCCGTTAAGCTGAGTGCTTTGGTGTACACTACCTGACATTTTTTAAGAAGCCAGTCCCTTTTTTTAATAGAATATTCTTCTTTTGGGATTTGTCTTGTATTTCTTCATAATTAGATTCAAGGAAGGGTCCCCTGGCCAGAATATTGTCAAAAATGTTGTGTCCTTCTCAGGATGTCTTCTCATCTGGAGACACCCAGTGTCCATCTGCCCTCACTGGTGAGGTTAACTTTGATCACCCAGTCAAGTGTGTGTGATTTTTCGTCTGGAGAGTTACTGTTTTTCTCCCTTGTGACTAATGGGCAATCTGTGGAGAGATACTTTAGTATCATGCCACTGTCCTGCTGCTGACTGAAAGTTTCTCCCTAAGTTTAGTATCCATTTAGCTTCTTGCCTGAGTCAGTCTTTACTATGGTGGTTGCAAAATGATGGTTTTCCAATTCGTTAATACCTCCACATTTAGTAATTAGTACTCAATATTCTAATGTAAGTAGGAGGCTTCTGTTCCCTCCATTTCTTTCTCTGTTTATTACCAGTATGATCTCGTGGATTGTGGATTCCTCTTTTTCTTTTAATGATTCCTTACCATCCTTGTTATTTGGATGGTCACATTCAGTGTTGGCTGGTAGAAGTCCTTTCAGCCTGACTTCCAGTTTTCCATCTTGTACCTTTCCTGCTCTAGCCCTGGAATCCACTATTTCTCCAAGGAGTCCTGGTTCCTTTTAGTAAGGAATGGTATTAGAAACAAGATCTGTGCACAAGTTGTCCTCTTGCTACTGTGGAGTTTTTGCTTCTTGGCCTATTCAGTGGCTAGAACTAGGAAAAATAAGTATACATAGCCACATAAACATATATGCACACACATGCATATAAGCTTACGTGTACATACTTTACAAATAATGAATTCATGCTGAAACCTCCAATTCCAGTTCATCCCCACAGAGCTCCTTGCCTTTTCTAGGCCATATTTGTATCAGCCTTCTGTACCGAAAACTCTGGCCCCCAACAAGGACAATGTTTTGATGTGTTGGGACAGTCTCTGCATTGCAGGTTATCTAATTTTCCTGTCTTCTGCTCATTCAGTACTCCCTGCAGTCATTGTGATAGTCAGAAAACACCCCCATATTTCTAGTTGCCCTCTGGGGCCATTAGTACTCCTTTTGGGAATCACTGTTCCAGTGATGAAACCAACATGGACTCCATTGATTATATTGCAAAGCGTGTTCTGATATGCCATGCATGAACTGTAAGAAAAGTGCTGTGGAAGTGCAGGGAAGAAAATGAAGAATTTCAGGAAAGCTATTATTAACGCTTTCCTAGGCATGAAGGGAAAATTAGAAAAGACCATTATATTTGGTGCCTTGGTATAGGATATAGTCAGCTCTTTGTTATTAGGGGACAGATTTACAGGAACTTTTACATAGATCCTGAATAAGCAGAAGCTGTTTGCCAAAGAATGAGTATAGTAAGTCTGCAATAAATATCAAATGTAGGTGACTGTCTTTGTTAAGATTAGTATACTTGGAAAAGCATTAACAGCTACCATTTACTGAAGACTACCCTCCTTGAATACCCTCTGTACATCCTGAATCCCTATCCAGTCAGAATTTTTTCCTCACCCTGTATTCTTACAGCACTTTATACCATCGTTGTGCCGTTTGGTGTGGTGAAAAGTCTGCCCTTAGGGGCAGACATCTGGATGTGAGCCTTAGTTAAGCCAGCTTTCAGAAACTATGTCATTTAACCTTGTTCCTGTAGCCATAAATTAGGGATGATGATAATGCCTGCTTCAGTTCATACCCTACCATATAATAGGTACTCCAGAAATGTGGAATGAACGAATTTCTAGGCCCCTTGATTCTACCCCTATATAAAAGATTAGGGTATGAGGTAAGGTTTGGAAACTCAAACTGCTTGGGGGGAAAAGAGGCTCTTTGAGACAGTATTTTTTTTCCTGCTGTGTAATAAAATAAAATGTCATTAAAAACTTTCGCACCCATGTGATAGTACCGCATGTATTCCCTAACTCTTGAGTGTTTGGGTTGAGATGTGTGTCCTGAGAATTCAGGCACCGCGCCTGGGGCTGCATCCCGAGGATCGTGCAGTAGGTGGCAGCGCCGCTTCTGCCCAGACCGCTGCGCAGCCTTTGGAACCTGGCGTTTGGGTGCGGACTTTTCCGGAAGCCGCCCCCGTAAGCGCTTGCGCGGAGTGCTGCCCTTAGCACGTGGAGCGCTGGGATTGGGCGCTGCGACCTGGTGCGGGCTCGCTGATTGGGGGAAGGAGGAGGGGCGATATGAGGCTTTTGCTCCGCGCGTCTCCATTGGAGGGCGTGGGGTGGAGTGGAGCGGGGTGGGAGAGGGAAGATGCCGGGGTGTGGGTGTGGGGCTTCGGCTTCCATCTGCTTAACTGATTTCGCCTCCACGCAGAGTGCTTGCGGGGGAGGTGTTCGGTGTTTTCTCTGATGGGCGTGAGGCTCTGGTGCCTCCTGTACAGTCTCATTAGTGGTTTTCTGTTAGAGCCTTGGGGGCGGGCTAATAGGGATCTGTCCAGCTCCCAGTATGAGGGTAATTTATTGCTACGGAGCTCTTGGATTAAAACCGGGAGTGCTATTTAGTACCTACACTGCATTTTAGGGATCAAGCAGGCCATGAATGCAGGGCAGGTCCTCAGACATAAGAATCAAAGGCAACCTTCATCCCTTGCTGGTTCTGTTCTAAGCACTTCATAGGTGCCGTCCCATTTACTGCTCACAACAGCCAGCTAACGCAGCTGCTGCTATTCCCCCTTATGGATGAGGAAACTGAGGCCATATTCTGACACTTATTTAGGGCCATTGCCTTTATGCTGAAAAACAGCTTTCTCAGTGATTGCTGTAGTACCTTCACTTCTACCATAGTGCCTTCCCTTGCACTGAAGAGTGGGTTTCTTGCTTTTTAAAAAATACATTTTGGTTGCAGAATAATATATACAGAAACGTGCATAAATCATAATGTATAGATTGATGAACCAAGTAAACTA